AGTCTACCGTCGACGATTTCCAATTCCCGTCCTGGGATCAGTTACCCGAGGATTTGCAGAACCCGACGAGTAGTGCAGACTATAACTCTGCTATTTCAATTGCTACTACCGGGGTCAGCATGTCGGCGGTGGAGGGTGCTGCGTCGATGCCTTGGGATGATATGGATTTTGCTATGGACTTGGACATGGATTTGGATATGAATCTGAATCAAGCATGAGGCAGAGGGGGGTCTTTCGATCTTCGCTTGTAACAGTGCTTTTTCGTTTCTTATTTAGAACGCCGGTCGCTTATACCCAGCGTTAACGTAGTAGGCGTACATCTGGGGTAAAAGGTTTCTCCGCTTCTCGGGTCCATGCTCTATGAATCAACATGACATTAATGGCTTCACACCTAGACTTGATGTTGTTGCCCGACCATTCAATATACCATAGTGAAAGTGCACTTCAAAAATACTTATTGCGCCTTTTACTAACTATTCGAAGCCTTACGTGCGACGAAGGCTTTTACAGTTATGCTTGGAGTAGAGCGAAATAGTTCCATGTGGTAGTGCGATACAGTATGTTAAAGGCCCTCGCCTTACCTTGTTGTCACAAAATAAGACCTTGCATGCTACCAAGGCCTCCACGATTAGGCTCAAGGTACACCGTACCAAAGTAAAGTGTTGTAGCAAAGATGTTCACCATTTTTTCATATCATTGAATTCCATTGCATGACTTCTCAGCCTGAAATGGCCCATCTTGCCCACGCATGACCGCTTCTCGTCTTCCAGTCGTTCGACCCTCACTTTAGTAAGATGAATCGAGTAGTCGTTATCTCATGTATCATGTCTTGCAGCGTATCACCCCGCGTCCTATGCTGTCATCTGCTTCTACTCGCGTAACTTCTTGTTTGTCGTTCCACAACCACGCACCTACCCATCACTGTCCTGTACGTAGCCGTAAACACACCGCATACTCCACCTTTGTGCTCCACAACACGAAGGAAACACGTTGCTTCAGATCTTTGTTGTTCCTAAAATGCGGTGTGATTTGCAAGCCTTGCTCACTTATGACCAGTCTTGACTACATAACACGTGTTGTTCGAGTGGCGAATATATCAACATCCTAGGCATTGTGGCGGAGTGGTTATCGCGCAAGACTTGAAATCTTGTTCCTTAGGGAGCGTCAGTTCGAATCTGGCCAATGTCGTCTTTTTTGCCTATCTATCTGCTGTGCTGTTGACTGTGAGCCATTGCTGTTTGGTTAGGGCTGTACGATACACTTTGGTTCGGAGGCCACGTGGGATGCCTGGATCGTGACACCACAAGTTTGGGAACACGCATCCCTTTGGTATCATTCACTAACTTTTTTTTGATTTGGTATACATACCATCTTTCTTACCCTGACCTACAGTTGATCCGCGCTGACTCTTTGAACGATGATACCTGATGATGCGCCACCTCCGTTGCAGATGACAGCTGCACCATACTGTCCAACCTTCAGCTGATGTAGTAGTGTAACCAGGATCCTGCTTCCGGAGCTACCCAGGGCGTGACCCAGAGCAATAGCACCACCTCTTGGGTTCACATTGTCCGTGCCGAGACCAAGGATCTTGGCATTGGCCTTGATAACGGCAGCGAAGGCCTCGTTGAACTCCCAGATAGCGATGTCGTTCTTTGAGAGACCGGATTGCTTCAGGAGTTTCTCAACGCAGGAAGCGGGGGCGACGGGAAAGTCAATGGGGTCTAAGTAGAGTCAGTGAGAGTGGATGAGCACAAGAGTCTGTGAGTACATACCAACGGCAGCATCGGCGTAGGTGACGACCTTTGCCAGTACACGGCTGTCCTTGCCGTATTGCTGTGCGATTTCCTTGCTTCCGAGTATCAATGCTGAAGCGCCATCACTGAGGGGCGAGCTGTTCGCCGCTGTGACTGTGCCATCTGGTCCCTTTTCGAAAGCTGGTTTCAGCGTGGAGACCTTGTCCAGCTTCAGCTTGTTGTACTGCTCATCCTCGGAGATGATAGTCTCGCCCTTCCTCGATTTGACAGTGACTGGCACAATTTCATCTTTGAAGAGTCCGTCCTTGTATGCTTGCTGTGCGCGCTTATATGTCTCGATGGCGTAGTCATCCTGGTCCTGTCTTGAAACTTCGTACTTCTTTGCCGTGTTCTCTGCACAGTTGCCCATGTGGATCTGGTTGTAGACATCCCACAGTCCGTCAGCGATCAAGCCGTCCTGCAGCTTCTGGTGGCCGAATGCTGGTTGCTGGCTGGCCCTGTTCATATAGTATGGAACTCGTGTCATGTTCTCCATTCCTCCAGCGACCTGTGCTTCCGCTTGCCCGAGCTCGATAGTCGAGGCGGCGATGTTTACTGCCTTCAGACCCGATGCGCATACTTTGTTGATCGTGGTGGCTTCGATGTTGGTGGGCAGCCCAGCGAAGATGGCTGCTTGCCGCGCTGGTGCTTGTCCGACGCCTCCGGAGAGGACGTTGCCCATGTAGACGGCATCTATGGAGGAGATTGGGACTTTTGACTTTTCGAGGGCGGACTTAATGGCTGTGGCGCCGAGTTGGGTCGCGGATACTGTTGTGAAGTTGCCATTGAACTATGACTTAGTGAGTAGCTGAGGTAGCTTGGAATACCATATTACTGACCACTGCGGTGGGTGTTCGGCTCGCGCTTATAATGTATGCATCCCGTATCTCTTTCCTTTGCGGCGCAGAGCTGCTGAACTGTCTTTGGATGCTAGCCAGCCGTTGTTGCGGCCGTGAGGCCATTCTCATGGATGTGCGGAGAGCGGAGGAAGACATGGCTGAATGATGTTACTGACAATGTTCAAAGTATACTCAGAACACGGTGAACACGGACCTCGGGAGAAAGGGACTGTAACAAGTCGAAGCGTGAGAACTACATGGCGGCAGCACTTCCGCGGGCAAGCCAAATGCGGGCGGAATGTGGAGGAACCAGGATCCAACATGTATGCCGAGGTTCGGCAGCACACGGCACCGCCCGGCTTAGTTGTTCCCTTTAGCCCATCTCCTTCCGCTTTCATTCGATGTTAGAACGACATCAAGAGTTACTTCCAAGCCATTTTTATGTCACGCTGGCTCTGAATTTTCAACGCGCATCTCGCGTCTCCTTACATGCGACGAAGTTATCCTCGTTGAATCTGTTCTCGTGCATTGTCCACCGCAAACACATTCCTCACCTCATCGAACGTGTCACATGTCTGCTGTCAATCATTATCACGCGTCATCACGACGGCCATGCAGTTTGGCCCTCTCTGCACGTTGCGCATATTGAGGCTCAGCTGTGATACAGGACCCGTCTGCCATTCCGAAGAAGCTGAGCTCGTGGTAATAGTACAAGAAAGTCGTTGATTGAGCACAATCACCCGCACATGACAGTTGACAGGACTGTCGTAGGGCACCCGTCTCACGTTTTGTGATATTTTCTCACCACAACAGTATCGACGCGCAATTCTCTTCTGCTCACCGGTCTGCTTCCGTTAGTCACATTTTCATGTCGGCGATTACTGCTTCAAAGACATCTTGTCACTTCTGTACCATCCGTCAATTTTTTTATTCGTCCTCAGAAAACGCCGCCCTGTAAGCACGGATATATACACGATTGTACCTGCAGCGCCATCGTAGGACTAAGATTGTTTGAGCATGCTGTCTGTAGTACCACGCCAAATGAGTGATGTCCTACCTTGCCTTGCCGCTTTTGGGCCCTCCGATCTTGACGAGCGCGTCATTCCTCACATCCAATGTGGAATCTTTCGGATAGTCGCAGGTTTATGGCTTGCTGTCATGGCCTGGATCGAACACAGACGCATGACTTTGGATAGTAACATTGTACAGACACCAAAGGCTCCTAGCTTTGGCTCAAGTTTCGAGCACACAACTGGTAAGAAGCACAAGCGGATTACCGGGACGTCTTCGCCAGATATAAGAGTAGGTCAAGAGCGCGGCATGAACTGAACCAGGCTCCTACAGTTCAAGTAAGCTTCATCAAAGTCAGCAGACATACCCACTTCTTTCACTAAATTCCAACTTGATCGCAAGATCTCTACCGCTAAGATGCATATCCCAACCCTCATCGGGAGTCTCGCCTTGACAGCCAACACAGCTTTCGCAGCCTACTCTATTGTCAACAACAAGTGTCACTACCCTGTGTGGGTATCGTCTGTCCAGACCACAAGAAGCGAGCTGCAGAAGATCCAGCCGGGCGACACGTGGTCGGAAAAACAGAAACTCGCAGAAGACGGCACGGGCGTCAACATCCAGGTAGTCACTTCAGAGGATGCCTTCGGCACCAGCAAACCAATCTTGAATATGCAGTACTCTTATGGAGGAGGGCTGTGGTACAGCTTGAGCAGTGCAGTCGGTCTCGCCTTTGTGGACGAAAAGGTCCGCATCCACAACACCGATGGTTTGCCTGTGCAGGAGATTGTCTGGATCGGTGACCACAGGCCAGAGAACGTCGCGTCCTACCCCAAGGGCGAGGCAAACTTGACGCTCGAGTTGTGCGATGACTTCAAGCGACGCTTCAAGGCCTAGGTGGCGATGCCAAATGGCTAGCAAGAACGTCTACGGTGGACGTGACGGACCAGAGAGAATGCAATCGTTTAGGGAAAGAAAAGTCTAGTGATGGTCGGGGAAGGGCTAATCAGGTCAGAAGATGGCACATTGTTGTTTTGAGCTTCGCGTATCGCAATATGTAATTCAACTAGATTAGTTGTAGCAATTGGCTGTTCTTGTATGCGAGGTACGCAAGCTGTCCTAACGTCAGTCTTTCCAGATAGTTTTCGCAAAATCCTAATCCATATCAACTTGAGAAAGCTATTGCTCCAGCCTTCTGACGCGTAAAATGATCATGCAAACTTGGTCACATGGGGTGGTGTTCAGCTTGGATGGTTCCATGTCGGCGAACGGTTCAGAGGTGTGCTAGCGCATTTCTTTCACGCTAGACCCCATTTGTAATGCAGCAAGTGATGCTAATGCTCGATAGCCGACCCTTCACTCTCGCAAACCACATCCCGCCTGCCGCATCGTTTCGATTTGCACTGCTTTCGTTGAACGTGCATGCTTGTTTCCTGCGCTCCTAGCGTCATACTGTTTAGTAACTCTAGACTTCCCTACAGCGAACCAAGCGGACCCGAATACTCGCGCAGCCCTGTGACGACCCTGTCTCAAACAGTCGACACCTCCAGCACCCCCCGAGGGTCTCACCTATCGCCATGGTCCGCAATGGCAGTCCGTCGCCGGCGGACAACTTTCCGCTAGGTCATTCCGCGACATCCCCCCAACCTCAACCTTCGAAGCGCGACAAACGACGCAACATGCTCGCCGAGAAGCTTGCGGAGATGATGGCCACATTCTCCGACAATAGGGACAGCCATTACAGAGCCCAGCTTGCCGCGCTACAAGCCGACATCAACCTGATTATGAAGGCGGATCCATATGCGAACCAGCCGCTCGAAGACGGCGGCGAAGAGGCCACAGAGCTCATCTCGCAAATCATGGGGAACAACGTACCTACCGCACCAAGCGCCGGTACCGATTACATTGCGCAATGTGGAAAACACTATTCGCGATTTGTAGATGCCGTCAATGATGCGATGGAAGAGCGCGACTACAACCTGACAATGCTCTGGGTGAGTCCCACGGCTTCTGCTGTACTGAGATGAGACGCTAACCGCCCATGCCAATTAGAACAAGCACGAGAACACGAAGAACGAGATCGAAAACTCGCACTACTACAAAGTCCAAATCGCCGAAGAAGAGCACAAGCTGCTCGCTGCCACCATCCGCGAACGACTCGTCGCAAGCATACAACAACGGACAAACCGACTGAAGCGAGAGAAGGAGCAACTCGACCTATCCGACAGCAATGCGATGCTCCTCCACCCCAATCAATTCAGCATAGGGCATCCTGCAAGCCCTGGTGGTCCACAAGCCCCTCGGAAGACTAGGAGAACAGGACACAAATTTGGCGACGCCGAGGATATGGCTGCTGCTACCGAGCACAAGCGAAAGCGCAAGCTGTACGAAGACCAGGACAACGATTCCCCAGGTCCTTCTGGTCGCCCTACCGAGATGGGCATCGGCTCACCCTTCCGCGAAGCCAAAGCGCGCACCATCAATGCCCAGTTCGAGTCGTCTGCATACTCCCTCGAACGCTTGTTCAGCGAGAAGGAGCTCAACATGGCTATGAACCAAGCCACCATGGCCGCCTCCCACTTTTTCGCCAAGATGAAGAACACAGAGGCTGCACCGCAGGAAGCCACAACAAACGGCAACACCAATGGCACAAACGGCGACCACGCTTCCGAAAACGGCGACGCCATGGATCAGGACCAAGATTCTGACGACGTGCCCGGCGCGACGGATATGATGCGCCAACACTCGTCGAACCCTCACGCTACCCGCGGCGCCACACGCTCAGCACTGAACCCCACGGCAGCCATCGTCAGCGGACAAATACCCCCATTCATCTACAACCCGCCATTCGTTCTGGATGCCAAGATCTTCCAGAAGATTAACGCCTCAGCACCGCCACCACCTCCCCTTGGCGCACACGACATCGAGCAAGATCTGAAGCTGATGCTTAGGGAAGCACCGCCAGACGACGATATCAACGAAAAGCTCCTGCAAGCCGCATGCAACCCCGTCAAAGCGCGCGACTACCAAGTCCAGCCACCTAACTTCTCGGAGCCAGTCCACGAGATGACGAGCGCTCTTAGGAGTACAGCGCCTCATTTAGAGGTGGGCGCAAGCTTAGGTGGTGTTCCGATGAGCGCGCAGAGCAGCATGGCGGGGTGGTCAGACGCTGGTGGAAACACACCGCTGGGACGTTACGGCGACAGAGATTCGCTGGCTGTTGGTGGCCACGGTGGCGGTGTTGCGATGACACGGACAGCGAGTGGTAGCGGAAGGGGACGCGGCAGGGGACGTGCTTAGAAGGCCCGCCGTATACTCTGACGTCCTTGTTCGCTTCCACAATCTGTCTTAGGTTTCGCGATTACGGTTTATATACCCATTATTGGCGTTTTGGTGCGGTGCATGTATGGCGCACTCCTCTTATCGACTTGCGTTGTTATCTCTTTCTGCTCACATAGACATTCCAGGGGGAGTTGTCTATGTACGACGCTTCTTTGAAGCATACCAGGATTGGCTCAGTTGGTTCTACCATGTCTGTATTATAGTACATCAGGATACGAATATAATCAACGTATTGGACTCTGTTAGTGACGACGAACAAGTCAGTGTGAGTTTTGTTAACCAAAGTACAACTTGATGAAACCCATAGCTATATCATGTTGCCTTCGCTAGATATCTTCTTCCCTTACATTTTGGTTGTTCCCTCTCAGATACAACACCGCCTTGCACATCCACCGCGACTTCCTCTCTGGAATACTCACGCTCGCCAAGATGGTCTGACCTCAGAAGCCTGGTGTAAAACTCACTATCTATCATCCACCTGCATCCTGCTGCCCTGCATCCGGAATCAGGCACACCCAACCCGCACATCACCACCTTTTATGTATCTTCGGAGAACGAACCTCACCGTGTTCATCCCGAGCTCCATCCTATAAGCCAACCATGAATACCTAGAGTACCTTCCGCTCTGGAGCACTCACCTTCGCCGCCATGATGGTCTGAGGCCGGATGCCTGGGGTAGACACTTGGGCATCCGCCCCATCCATCTGCATCTCTCAGCTCACCATCGAGCACACCTGGACAAGCCTTTTCATGGCATATAGAAGGCGCAAACACAAAAGAGGTGGGTGTAGCCAACATTCTTTCTTTTATTTTCCTTTCCTATGATGGTGCCTTCATCAACAACCACCCCAACCACTTCCTCAACCACCACGAATGCCTACTTCCCGGTCAAGATGTTTGGGAGGATGTTTGGGATAAAACCTGGACATCCTCCCCATCCACCTGGATCTGATCTGCATCCTCAGTCCACCACCATCAAGTACACCTGGACAAAAGCCTTTCATGGAGCTGGTCTACACGAGCATCGCCACTTTCATCTTGTCTTGCATCTGGTCTACTCTCATCCATGATTCCTGGATCAACCCTCACTTTCGGCTCACCTTCGCTACCATGGATGTTCTCACCGCCATATACTTTCTTTCTCGCGTTCGCTTTGCTCCTGGAATATGGGCTCAGCTCCGATCACCATCTCCTCCTACCGTCGCCTTCTTTAGGAGTTTGCCCTAGCATATACCTCGCAATGTCTGGGGCATCTACGTCGTCATTCTGGAAATGGATGGTGCATCGCCTCGGATATACATCGGCTCTGGTACTGCATTCAAGGGGGGCGTACTCTACCGTACACGTTCCTATTGGAAGCACAAAAATCTACCATGGAATGTTAAGAAATTTTCTGGTGGTGGCTACTACATAGGCCTGGATTCTTCGAGGAAGTTCAGAGATACCCTACCCAAATGGTATTCACTGGGGTTGGCAGTGTTCGTTGGGGATGTAGGAAGCGATGTATACTTCTGGCTAGGTCTTACCTCTAGGCACAGTCCAAAGAAACTGGCACAGTCCAAAGAAACTCAACCTCTAAGTTGCACCCAAATTGTACCCTGAAGGTATTCGGTATGTTTGACATGAACACGTCACAAAACAACAAGTAGTGTATACCTTCAGAGTATACTTTGGACACCTCGAGCAGAGCAAACGCAGGACGGTAATGACGAAGGTGTTGCGACGACTCAACCGTTGGGCTCTGTCCGCTGATCGCAATTGTTGAAAAAATCCTGGACATCTGGAAGCTACTTGAAACTACCCGTCGTTGCCATGGGCGGCATGACATATGGACCCGCTCATGGCGGGGCATTCGCTTATGTCACCGTTTTCAGATGTTGGTGGGGGGAGGGTTCCGTCATAGGCTCCCATCGACCAGCGCCCTTTGTGGCGGCGAAAGAAGAGGCAAGAACATTCAAGCAAAAAGGCGTTGGTACCAACACGCAGGCGGTACAATCGGCGCACTGTGGATCCCTAGTGACAAGAAACTAGGTATTTGCCCCCGGAAAGCGTGCAAGGCAGCTGTTTCTAGTGGGTCGCAGAGCTTGCGCGAGCTTGCGGGAAGGTTCTGGTTGGTTGCTTGGCACGTCGAAGGCGCTGGAATTCTGTAGAAACACCACGCATCCAGCGATACAAAAACTTCGTCTGCCCGCGCCTTGGGACTGTTTCTTCTTCCACTACACACATCAAACCACACTACACCGCGAAAGCCTCACCTTTATAAGTCACCGACTTGTGAGCATATTACGAACTTTTCTTTACCTTTGATACCCCACCACACATACACATCGACATCATGGCACCCGCGATTGGTATCGATCTTGGAACTACCTACTCTTGCGTAGGTATCTTCCGTGATGACCGCATTGAGATTATCGCCAACGACCAGGGTAACCGGACAACACCTTCGTAAGTCGCACAACTGCCTACCTGCAACAAAGATCATGTACTAACGTATCCAGGTTCGTTGCCTTCACTGACACCGAGCGTCTCATTGGTGACTCCGCAAAGAACCAAGTCGCCATGAACCCCGTCAACACCGTCTTCGACGCAAAGCGCCTCATCGGTCGCAAGTTCGCCGACGCTGAGGTCCAGGCCGACATGAAGCACTTCCCCTTCAAGGTCATCGACAAGGGCGGCAAGCCAGTTATCCAGGTCGAGTTCAAGGGCGAGGAGAAGACATTCACACCCGAGGAGATCTCATCTATGGTCTTGACCAAGATGAGGGAAACTGCCGAGTCCTACCTCGGTGGCACCGTTAACAACGCTGTCGTCACTGTTCCCGCATACTTCAACGACTCGCAACGTCAGGCTACCAAGGATGCTGGTCTCATTGCCGGCCTCAACGTCCTCCGTATCATCAACGAGCCTACTGCCGCTGCCATCGCCTACGGTCTTGACAAGAAGACCGAGGGTGAGCGCAACGTCCTTATCTTCGACTTGGGTGGTGGTACCTTCGATGTCTCCCTCTTGACCATCGAGGAGGGTATCTTCGAGGTCAAGTCCACTGCCGGTGACACTCACTTGGGTGGTGAGGACTTCGACAACCGTCTCGTCAACCACTTCACCAACGAGTTCAAGCGTAAGCACAAGAAGGACTTGACCTCCAACGCTCGTGCTCTCCGTCGTCTCCGAACCGCTTGCGAGAGGGCCAAGCGCACTCTGTCCTCTTCCGCTCAGACCTCCATCGAGATCGACTCCCTGTACGAGGGTATCGACTTCTACACCAGCATCACCCGTGCTCGTTTCGAAGAGCTCTGCCAGGACCTCTTCCGCTCCACCATGGAGCCCGTCGAGCGTGTCCTCCGCGATGCTAAGATCGACAAGTCCTCCGTCCACGAGATTGTCTTGGTCGGTGGATCCACCCGTATCCCCAAGGTCCAGAAGATGGTCTCCGACTTCTTCAACGGCAAGGAGCCCAACAAGTCCATCAACCCCGATGAGGCTGTCGCCTACGGTGCCGCCGTCCAGGCTGCTATCCTGTCTGGTGACACATCCTCCAAGTCTACCTCCGAGATCCTGCTTCTCGACGTCGCGCCGCTTTCCATCGGTATCGAGACCGCTGGTGGTGTCATGACTGCTCTCATCAAGCGCAACACCACCATCCCCACCAAGAAGTCCGAGGTCTTCTCCACCTTCAGCGACAACCAGCCCGGTGTGCTTATCCAGGTCTACGAGGGTGAGCGTGCTCGCACCAAGGACAACAACCTGCTCGGAAAGTTCGAGCTTACCGGTATCCCACCTGCTCCTCGTGGTGTTCCCCAGATCGAGGTCACCTTCGATGTTGACGCCAACGGTATCATCAACGTCTCCGCCCTCGAGAAGGGTACCGGAAAGACCAACAAGATTGTCATCACCAACGACAAGGGCCGTCTCTCCAAGGAGGAGATCGAGCGCATGTTGGCTGAGGCCGAGAAGTACAAGGCTGAGGACGAGGCAGAGGCTGCCCGTATCTCTGCTAAGAACGCTCTCGAGTCCTACGCTTACTCGCTCCGCAACACTCTCTCCGACTCCAAGGTCGACGAGAAGCTTGATGCTGGCGACAAGCAGAAGCTCACTGCCGAGATTGACAAGACCGTCCAGTGGTTGGACGACAACCAGACCGCCACCAAGGACGAGTACGAGTCTCAGCAGAAGGAGCTTGAGGGTGTTGCCAACCCCATCATGATGAAGTTCTACGGAGCTGGTGGTGAGGGTGGCATGCCCGGCGGTATGCCCGGTGGCGGCATGCCCGGTGGCGCCCCAGGTGGTGCCGGCGGTGATGACGGCCCAACCGTCGAGGAGGTCGACTAAGCGGATCGCTTCACTGCAGTCTCTTGTCTTCCTTTCCTTGTGCATCTTCAAGCATAGACTTCTTTTCCATGGGTGGTAGTTCACGGAGTTTCACGGCCAATTAATTGAGCCAGTTTCATGGTTTCTTCTTATGCATCGGATGAATAACGATCAACGATTGGGAGGAAAAGTTAGGTGGTGTCAGCATGTACTCTAATAGTGGGATAGTTCTATATCCTGTGTAGAGAATTGAGAGAATACTTCAAATACTTGGTCTTGACTTGTTTTGTGATGTTTGAAAGGACAGATAGAAAGGTGCAACTTGGAAGGTGTTCACGATATGTCTTGACTTAAAACCAAACCCTAAAGGTATACAGTGTGTTTTTGTGTTTGAAGTAAGTGATACAGAAGTCAGTGTATACCTTCAGGATAGAGTTTAGCAGATCTTATATCTTAACCTGAAACCAAGCTCTAAAGGTATACGGGGTGTTTTTATGTTAAAGGTAGCTAATACAGAAGTCTACGTATACCTTTAGGGTGAATCTTAGCAGATCTCATATCTTAATCTGAGACTAAACCCTGAAGGTATACAGAGTGTTCTTGTGTTTGAAATAGGTGACACAGAAGTCATCGTATACCTTTAGGGTGGAGTTTAGCAGATCTGGGGCTATGCAGCCACAGCCCAATCCAAGAGGGTGTACATAGTCAAGACACATCTAGTAGTGCAACTAGGGCTGAGGTTAAAAGGCAGCAGCGTGAGCGAGATCGACAATATGATTATCGCTATCAACGCCAGCTCAGGAAGAACGCATCCCCGGAATTTAAAGCTCGCATACGCATCCACAATGCGAAACAGACGCCCAAGACCTTACTCCGTGAGCAGGCAGACAAAGCAGCCTTCAAGCACTACTGCGACACCTGCAAAGTCAACTCTCGCAATGCAACCGAGCAACGAAAACACTTGTCCGGGGATACTCATGCAGCTATTGTTCAGATAGGTGGCGCAGATCACGACGGATGGTTTAGCTGTCCAACTTGTCCTGGAAAACACTTTGAAACATCTAGAGCTTTCGGTCGACATATCAAGAGCAAAGCCCATTTGGGACACTCAGGGTTGCTCAGTTTCATAAGATTGTCTTTTCATGTGCTAACACCCACTCAGATCTGACCTCCACAGGATGTGGCTTGGTTTGAAACTAAACCCTGAAGTATACACGGTATTTGGCGTTTGAGATAGGCGCTACAGAAGTCAGCGTACACCTTCAGGGTGGAGTGACAACAATGTGTATAGATGCTTGATGCTATGCTATCTGAGGGTATCATGACTATTGTACATGTTGCGACTTGCGCAACAACTCTAACCTCCCTGCGCCTCAAAATGTGATCTCGTCGACAAATACCATGAAGGTTTTCCCTTGTCGTCACCGAAAGAATTCGGTACCCTCCAGGGATTCTTATCCCTTGAGCGGGTATACGACCTGGCAAAACTACCTTGTTGACGTATACCAAGCGCTTGCGTCTCAGTGTTCTGCATGTGTGAACCCATTGTCTACCTTCAGGGTCTACTCTGGCATATGCCATGACCTATCATGCACCTAGCTCCTCCGCACTCCTACTAAATGCTCCCTTGACCTCCTCCCCAGGCCCTCTCTTCCTCCAAACATCCTCACTATTCGGGCCACTCTTTACCCTCTCCTCCTTCTCGCGATACCGATCCTGAATCATCCTCTCCTTGACATCCTGGCCGCTATAACTATTCTTGGTGCGCATGCAGAACCAAAAATCGTTCCAGTGGTCGGAGCAACTGCGCAGTTGTCCGTACCGGTATATGTCGTTGAAGTGGCCGCCCAGCGAGGAGCAGTAGAAGGCGCTGTCGAAGGCTGCGCGGCAGGACATTGAGCGTGGAAGGGTGGGGTCGAATTCCTCGGGGGCATCGGGGGCAGATGAGTTTTGCGAGGTTGACGAGGACGATGTGCTGTTTGTGGAGAAGGAGGGTGGTGCGAGGTGTGGGTGGGCGGCGTAGAAGTCGGGATCGTTGGGGGCGGAGGTAGGTTGATGCTCTATGGTTTGCGTCGGTACATCGCTGGGTTTTTGCACGGGAGCTGAGGTAGTGGATATGGTTTGTGGTTGTTGCTTTGCAGAGGTATCTGCGCCTGAGCTCGAGAAGGGCCAGACCATTGTGAGATGTGTAGAGGACTTGTCGTGGTATAAGGGACGCGCTGTGCAGGAGCTTCGCTGTATTGGTCGAAGCGGGAGTATAACGTGAATTATCGAAAGCCGAAATCGCGACAAAGTTCTGGCCAATGTGCTGCGGATGGCAATTGAACAGTTAACCCAAGCTAGTATGCTGGTATGGAGGCCCAGATGGATCCGCGGGGGCTTGGAGGCGTGGGCAGAAATTCAAGAAATCCGCAATGGAAATGGCACTTCCGGCGAATCAAACAAGAGACGGCCCGCACACGTGAGCGGGAAGACTATGCGCTACGTCATGCATCGCCCTTGTAGCTGCCTTGGAGATCACTTCCACTCCACCTTTACGCGTCCTGTGCGTCGTCTAATTCCTGGCGGGTTACTGTGCTGTCTGCTGTCTTTGAGTTTGTATTCTATTCTCGACACTCCCTGCGGCCTGTTTCCACCGCCGCCTCGGTAATACTCCACGCAGCACAACACTCAGACCTGTGCCTTACCCGCCCCACCTTGTGTTTACCTACCACAATTGCCCCAATCGTGGCATCTACCCGTTGACGGCCGTTCCCTATGAATTCACACAGTTCTACGACATAACGATCCCCCTCCGACCCCGATATACCCTATACCCCACCTACCTACTCACCCACCTACGCTTCGACGCCCGGCCTGGGTAACGGTCGCCCACCGCCACCATGCTCGAGGGACTCGTGTCAACATTGCTGAATCGGTTCTTGGGCATGTATGTCCAGAACTTCGATCCAAAGCAATTAAACGTCGGCATCTGGTCTGGCGACGTCAAGCTGCGAGATCTCGAGCTTCGTCGAGAAGCCCTTGATCAACTACGCCTACCGCTGAACGTCGTCGAAGGACATCTTGGCTCGCTCACACTATCCATACCCTGGTCAAATCTACGAGGGAAGCCGCTAAAGGTCAACATTGAAGATGTGTTCCTACTTGCCGCGCCCAAGGAAGATGCAGACTACGATGCAGAAGAGGAGGACAAGCGTGCGCATGCTGTCAAGATGGAGAAGCTTGACAGTGCAGAGCTGCTGAAGGAGCGCAACACAGAAGGCATGAGCGCAGAAGAGCAGCAGAAGAACCAGAGCTTCACCGCGAGCTTGATTACCGCCATCGTCGATAACGTCCAGGTCACCGTCAAGAACATCCACATCCGATACGAAGACTCCATTGCCGACCCCGGACACCCATTCGCCCTTGGTGTCACCCTCGCAGACTTCAGTGCTATCAGCACTGACGAGAACTGGAAGCCTACCTTCATCCAAGGTACATCGGCCTCGACGCACAAGCTGGCCACGCTGGGCTCGTTGGCGGTATACTGGGACACAGATGCAAAGCTGATTGGTACTGGCAAGGGCAGTCAGAGTAGCGAGGAGCAGCAAATCGACCGAGCAGACTTCATTGAGCGTGCCAAGGGCATGATTGCAAGAGGCGACAGCCCAGATCTGGGCGATCACCAGTTTATCCTCAAGCCCATCAGTGGTCGCGCTGGCTTAGAGATGGACAAGACTGGCAAAATGGATGTGGCCAAGATGAAGGCTCGACTTCTGTTTGATGAGCTTGGTTTCATCATTGACGAGGATCAATACCGCGATGCACTCATGCTAGTCGACCTGTTCCACTACTTTATCCGCCACCAAGAGTACAAGAGGCTGCAACCAAAATCATCACCCAAGGAGGATCCTGCTGGTTGGCTTCGCTTCGCCGGTAAGGCTGTACTTGACAAGATCCATGAGAGAAACCGACAATGGAGCTGGGATTACTTCAAAGAGCGCCGCGACGACCGTATACGGTACATTGAACTTTTCAAGAAGAAGAAACGCGATGAGAAGCTTGATGCCACTGAGGCCGAAGACCTGGATAAGCTCGAGCGAAAGCTGAAATACGAGGACCTCCGCTTCTGGCGCTCTCTGGCACGGAATGAACTACGCAAGGAGAGTGTTGCGATACCGAAACCGCCGCCCAAGCAAACGTGGTCTTCTTGGGTATGGGGAAGCAAAAAGGAAGAACATCACGACGACGAGAACACTCAGATGAGCGAACAACAGAGGAAGGAGCTCTACGATGCCATCGACTGGGACGAGAAGAAGGCTATTACTGAGTCAGTGGATATGCCTCGCGAACACGTCAAGCTAGAGGTCAATATGAGCTTGCGAACCGGCAGCTTCACACTCAAGCGCGATCCCCATGGCAAATCCAACGAGATCCTCCGGCTGCTCTTTGACTCCTTCAGTACTCAGTTCCTGCAACGTACGGATTCCATGTTCGTCAAAGTCGCGCTCGAGGGTATGCGCCTTTACGACGGTACAACCGAGGGCAGCCTCTTTCCCCAAATCATCACAGTCAAGGATGCACCGCCTGTTCCGGACGACAAGCGCATTGAAGAGCTCAATGACGATGAGTCGCCCAAGGACGAAGATGATGATGAAGATGGTGAGGACAAAGAAGACCCATTCTTCTTCCTCACTTTCGAGAACAACCCACTGGATGGAGCAGCCGACACAAACCTGACCATGAAGCTGAAGGGCATGGAGTTCGTTTACAACCCCAGGTTCGTGGTGGAGGTAGCAAAATTCTTCAAGCCTCCAGAGAGACACATGGAGTCTATCGGCGCGCTCATGGAGACCGCTGGAGCGACTGTTGAAGGCATTCGGCAACAAACACGCGCAGGCCTGGAGTTCGCGCTTACCGAACACAAAACTATCAACGCGCAGCTCGATCTCCAAGCGCCGCTCATTATCGTGCCAGATTCCGTCACAAAGAAGTCAAGCAACTGTCTCATCGTCGATGCTGGTCATGTGAGCGTAACGAGCGAACTCGTCGACAAGGACACTCTTCGTGATATTCAGGCAAAGCAAAAGCAGCAGTATACTGATGAAGATTTCCGCAAATTGGAGAAGCTTATGTACGACAAATTCGATCTGAAGCTCCACTCAACACAGGTACTCATAGGACCATCTATCGAGGAGACCCGCGCACAGCTCGACAAAGATTCTAGCTTGAAGAACTACCACATCGTTGACCGGATCAATATGGACTTCAAGATCGAGATATGCATTGTTCCAAAGGCGTCAGATCTCACCAAGTTCCGTGTCTCCGGAAACCTGCCGGTGCTCCATGCCTCTGTGTCGGATTCTAAATACAAGAACCTGATGAAACTGATTGACGTAGCTATCCCAAAGTTTGGCAATGACGGACCCAGCAAGCAAGTAACCGAAGGCGCGAAGGGCCCAGCAAATCTGAAGCCTACAAGCGACGCCAAGGCTGATTCGGATCCTCTTGGCCGGTCGCGCTCAAAGTCGTTTGCGTTTTCCGCGCAAGAGCATGAGCTGGTTATGGAAGAAGAAGGTCATGATGGGGACAAGGACGAGAAGTTCTCTGACGCCCCAGAGATCCGAGACGAAAAGAAAGAGGCACATCTGCATCAGCGCAACTTCGAATTCAAGTTTACAGTCGACAAGCTTCAGGGTTCATTGTACAGAGCAGATCCAGAAGGGAGGAAGTCTGATCAGCTACTGGTCGAGCTCATCGCTGAGAGCTTTGATCTCGACTTTTACCAGGAGGCCTTCGAGATGGCTGCGGACGTTCGTCTGAAGAGCTTGGCTGTTGAGGACCACGTCGAGGAGTCTACTCTCCCTGAGTTCAAGAATATCATCTCTTCAGAGGATGTGTCAGCGGACGAACAGAAGGATTTGTTCTCACTCAAGTTCGTCAAAGTGAACAAAGAGTCTCCGGAGTTCCAGACCAAGTACGAGGGTATTGCTACCAACTTGGATGTGGCTGTGTCAACGATCAACCTGATAGTAACCAGGCGGACGCTGCTCACGTTGCTAGACTTCGTCCTTGACACCTTCACCAATCCGGGTCAACCTCAAAATCAGCAAGCTCAGATAACCGACAAGGAAGAACAGCAGCCGGTTGCTAACCAAACTCAAGCGGAGCCCGACAAGATACGCATTCGAGCAGAGCTCAAGCGCATTGCTGTTGTTCTGAACAACGACGGCATACGTCTAGCTACATTGAGTTTGAACTCTGGAGATGTTGGCATATTCCTCAGCGGCAAGACGATGCGCATCGGTGGACGTCTTGGAAATTTGTCGCTCATCGATGATATCAATCAAGGTGTCTCCGAAGAATCGTCGCTCCGTCAATTGGTCACTATCGAGGGCAAGAATCTGGCCGATTTTAGCTACGAGACCTTCGATCCAGATGCGGAGAGCTATCCTGGGTACGACATGGCTGTCGCACTGAAAACAGGCTCTATTAAGATCAACTTCCTTACAGAGCCTTTCCGTAAGATTATGGAGTTTGCCGTCAAGTTCGGCAAGATGCAGGCAATTTTCAATGCAGCTCGTCAGGCTGCGGCAAACCAGGCAACACAGGTACAGCAACGAGCTACCAAGTTCCATTTTGACATCACAATCGCCACGCCTATTGTTGTGTTCCCACGTATGGTAGTGTCCGATAAACCAGATCGTGACACTCTTACTGCAAATCTGGGAGAGATCTACGCGAAGAACAGCTTCGTGCCTCTTGATGATTCCAAGGGTGCAGAGACCGCGAACAAGCTGTCGGCCGGCATCCGCAACATCAAGCTTACGTCGAAGCTGCACTATGATGAGAATCGTTCAGAAGAACTGCAGCTGATTGACAAGGTTGATCTCGACTTCAACATTACCATGGTCGAGCATAAAGCAGGTCAGCAGCGCCCAGATCTCGAGATCGATGGTAATATGTCAAACATAAACCTACAACTCACACCGGAGCAAATGAAGTTCGCGCTAGAACTGTCGCGCTCAATACCCGCAGCATTTGCCACCGAGTCGGACGCTATCGATCAAGACGTGCAGGCTGAACTACCAAAGGAGACGACGGAACCTGCGCGCCGATTAACCGACAAGGATGATGGAAAATCTGAGCCCTCTAAGGATGTAGTCACTTCACAAGGACCCGAACTGCACTCCGCTGACGACAGCAAGTGGACGAAGCTGGACTTTGTCTTCAAGGTCGGCACGATTGGCTTGGAGCTTGTCAAGAGCGAGGATGGTGAGCCTGTAGGCGACGTTGAAGCCGCTAGTCTCTCAAAATTCTCCCTCAACGACACCAATGTTAAGGTCCGCATGATCAGCGATGGAGCAATGGAGGCTGAGCTAGTCGTGCAATCGTTCACGATCCGAGACAGCCGCACGCAAGGAACGAACAAGTTCCGCAAGATTATGTCGCTCATCAACAATGATGTCAAACAGCAGTTCATGGCTAGTGTGTCAATCTCAGGCGGACAAGAGCGCAACATGATCGCACTTCTCACTATCGATAGTCCAAGAATTATTCTTGCGCTGGACTACCTTTTCGCTCTGCAAGCGTTCGCAAATGCAGGCCTCGCCACTGATGAGCCTCTGGCCATTGAAGAGGCGCCTGTCGAACAGGATGAGACTGACAGTGACAATGACGATATCATGTCACCCGATGGCTCTCGAACATTGGAACAACCGGAGCCTGCCAAAGAGTCTACTGATAACGGCATGAACATGTCATTCCGTGTCAACTTGGTAGACGCCCAAGTCGTGCTTATTGCGAACCCAGCGATGGCCAGCTCAGAAGCTATTGTACTTGGTACGAAGCAGGTACTTGTATCTAAGCAGCAAGCGATGACGTTGCAAGTCGACAAGGTTGGCATGTTCTTGTGCCGTATGGATCGGTTTGAGACGAACCGTATGCGCATTCTTGACGACTTCAGTATTCAGACAGCTCTGGATATGAGAAATCAAGGCTCAACGTCCTCGATGATGAGCATTACCGTCGACATCGAGCCTCTTGTGCTTCGCCTATCGCTGCGCGATATCCTGTTAGCAATGCAGATTGTGAACAGGGCGTCGGCAATGGCAGCGCCTGCCGAGAAACCTATGCCTTCGGCAGAGGCCAAGCAACTCAAGTCGGGTACACCATCGAAGAAAGGTACTTCACACGCAGGCAAGACACTCAGTCAGAAGCCTCGAACCAAGTCTCTTGCAACCACGGCACGATCTGGAAAACAGGTCGCGCAGCAGCAGGCGCCTCCTTCTTCTGCTGTGCTTAAGCGAGAAGAGCTCCATATCAGCTTTGAAGGTATACGAGTTGTTCTCATCGGCGATGTACATGAAATGCCCATGCTTGATTGGCGCGTAAAGAAGTTCGGCGTCGACGTACGAGATTGGTCAGGAGCGATGGTCGCCGACACATCACTCGATACCCTGATCAATGTGTACAACTTCTCCAAATCTGCATGGGAGCCGCTGATCGAGCCCTGGAGTGTCGGGTTCCACATGGCCAAGAACCAGAATCCTGACAAGCTAACAGTCGATATCTACTCCCGCAAGTCCATGGAGCTCACCGTGACAGCCGCCACGATTGCACTGGGCTCCAAGTCATTCGACTTCCTCACGAGCGAAGATGACATTCTATCGAAGCCGCGGGGTAGTGATGCTCCGTACCGCGTGCGCAATTACACAGGCTTTAGTCTCGATGTCTGGGCCGATGGCAAGGAGCAAGAAGGTTTTGCAGCTAAGCTTGAAGACGGAGAAGAGCAGCCTTGGCGATTTGAAGACCCCATGTCGACAAGAGAGTCGCTTTCCACAGACGGCGCAACAGGCATGCTTGGTATTAAGCTGCAGGGCAGCGGCTTCGACACTCTCACTCGCGTACCCGTTCATCGAGAGGGCGAATTCCTATACAACCTAAAGCCCAAGCAAGACCGCATTCAACACCGTCTGTTGATTGATGTAAAACTTGGTGCCGACAACGTCAAGAACATCACCATTCGCTCCCCAATGTTAGTGGAGAACAACACGCAGATTCCGATCGAGCTCGGCATGTACAGCCCAGAAGATGGCCATCTCCTCAAGATTGACAAGATCGCCCCTGGAGATGCTCGACCAGCACCTGTGGGCGCCTGCTATATGCACTCCATCGTCATCCGTCCAGACCAAGGCTTCGGCTATGCCTGGTCCAATGAGCGCTTGTTCTGGAAAGACTTGCTCAAGCGTCCCACGAGGACGATTACCTGCCGTGGCGAACAAGACGACCAATCTCCACCGTTCTACTTCCAGTTACATGCGGCCTACGACAAGAAAGACCCCTTGACTAGTGTGTACCCTTACATGCGACTTCGCCTCCAAGCACCCGTCGAAGTTCACAATCTCCTTCCATATGACTTCAAGTATAGAATTTATGACAGCAACACGAAGAAAGATTGGACAAATTTCCTTAGGAAGGGTGGCATCAGCCCGGTGCATGTCGTGGAGCTCTCGCATCTTCTTCTCATTAGCGTAGAGATGCAGGACGGGCCCTTCAAGCCAAGCAAGTTCGGCATCATTAACTCAACCGATCGCGAGAGCTTTAGGAGGGAGAAAACCTTGGAGGTCAAAGACAACAATGACACGACTCTGCATCTTAACATGCATTTCTTGTAAGTATATTACCCTACAACCTCAACTCAAAAGTGCTGACAATCTCTAGCAACTTCCCTGATGGTGGTGGCGCCTTCAAGGTAGCAATCTACAGTCCCTACATCGTTCTCAACCGTACCGGCCTTCAACTCGATGTCCGCGCTCAGCAGCTCATGGGCCAAGCTAGGGCTGCTGCCGGACAAGGTGTCGTCTCGGATAACCAAAACGATGCCGGCAAGGCTTTGCCATTTATGTTCTCCTACCCATCCGAGAACAAGAAGAACCGAGCTCTTATCAAAGTCGGCGATTCTAACTGGAGCAAGCCTCAGAGTTTCGACGCGATCGGTAGCTCATACACAGTAGCGTTGCCTTCAAACAAGGCACGCTCTGACATGCACTTGGGTGTCTCGGTTTCGGAGGGTGAGGGCAAATACAACTTGACCAAGAGCGTTTCCATTGCGCCACGATTCATCGTCAACAATAAGATGAAGGAAGAGTTACTCATCCGTGAGCCTGGTCAATCTGACTGGATGACGGTGAAAGACGGAGAGCTTTTCCCTCTTCGCTGGCTACGACAAGGCGGAGCGCCGCAACTGTCTCTCTGCTACCCTGGTGTCAACAACCAATGGTCTTCTCCATTCAACATCTCCAACGTTGGAAATGTTCACGTCAAGCTCTCCAAGGCTGGACAGCGCCAGAAGCTTGTTCGTGTGGACATTCTGATGGAAGCAGCAACAATCTTCATTCACGTCAGCGTTGAGAACAAGCATTGGCCATTCTCGTTCAAGAACATGAGCGACCAGGAGTTCCTGTACTGGCAAGCCAACCCGAATCTGGATGAGGACGAGGATGACCGCGGTTCTGGCTTTAGACCAATTAGATACCGCCTACCTCCCAGGAGCATCATGCCATATGCATGGGATTTCCCGGCTGCAAAGAACAAGGAAATCGTCATCAGCGCCAACGGAAGGGAGCGTCACGTCAAGCTTGCCGAGATTGGACCTCTCATTCCATTCAAGATACCACCTGGCCAAGAACGAGGCGGCATGAAGGTTATTGATCTGAACGTCGTTGCAGCAGGTCCCACACAAACTCTCGAGGTATCGAACTACAAGCCATCTAAGAGTATGTACAAGCAAAAGTCTGCTGGCACGTCTTCCTCCGCTACTGGATTTGAAGTCAAGGACATGGACACCGACGTCACTTTCAAGGCGCAGCTACGACTTGCTGGTATCGGCATATCACTAGTCAATCGTCATCTGAAGGAGTTAGTGTACGTCACACTACGCGACATCGAGCTGAAGTACTCCGACTCGCCGCTCTACCAGATGGTCAACATGCAAGTCAAGTGGATTCAAATCGACAACCAACTCTATGGTGGCATCTTCCCCATCATCTTCTACCCTAGTGTCGTTCCAAAGACAGGCAAGGAGATGGAGGCACATCCCATCTTCCAGACGACAATCACCAAGGTCAAGGACGATTCGTACGGTGTACTTTACATCAAGTACTTCACATTCCTCCTCCAGCAAATGACCATCGAAATTGATGAGGACTTCATCTTCGCTATGATCGACTTCGCGAACATACCTGGCGCTTCCTGGTCTGAGGAGAAGCAGGGCAAGCTGTGGGATGACAATCTTAGCATACCAGAGCCAAAACAAGAGCAATCTGGTCAGGATGTCTACTTTGAGCTGCTCCATCTGCAGCCCATGCAGATTGATCTGTCGTTCGTTCGAACAGAACGCATCAACGCCGAGGACACCATGAGCACTTCCAACCCATTTATGTTCGCTGTCAACGTACTCACCATGTCGATCGGCAATGTCAACGATGCGCCGGTGCGATACAACTCCTTGATGTTGGAGAATGCCCGCATCTCCACCACTGCATTGATCAACAACATCAAGAATCATTACGTTCAAGAATCTTTGCGACAAGTGCACGTCATCATCGGATCTGCTGACTTCCTTGGCAACCCAGTCGGCCTATTCAACAACATCAGCTCTGGTGTCGCTGACATTTTCTACGAGCCATACCAAGGACTTGTCAAATCGGATCGTCCGGAGGATCTCGGTATCGGTATCGCAAAGGGTGCATCAAGCTTCGTCAAGAAGTCCGTCTTCGGATTCTCGGACAGTATGGCCAAGTTCACTGGCAGCATGTCAAAGGGACTTTCTGCAGCAACACTGGACAAGGAGTTCCAGGACCAGCGTCGCATGTCGCGATCTCGTAACAGGCCTAAGCATGCCCTCTACGGCATAACATCTGGTGGAAATGCCTTTGCTAGCAGTCTTGCCAGCGGTCTTGGTGGTCTTGCTCGCCACCCTATTCAAGGAGCGGAGAAGGAAGGTGCTCTCGGTTTCGTCAAAGGAGTCGGCAAAGGACTGCTGGGCGTACCAACCAAGGCCGCCATTGGCGCCTTCGACCTTGCTTCCAACATGGCAGAAGGCGTCCGCAACACAACCACCGTCTTCGACCAAGAAGGCCTCGATCGCGTTCGTCTCACCCGCTTCATTGGCACCGACGGCATCGTTCGGCCATACTCCCAACGCGAAGCTCTCGGTCAGTTCTGGCTCAAGACACTCGACAACGGCAAGTACTTCAACGAAGACTACATTGCGCATCTTGAACTCCAGAACAAGGAGATGCTCGTCATGCTCACGTACAATGGCCTTATGATGGTGCGGACGAAGAAGCTGCAGACAGAATGGGATGTACCACTCAAAGACGTGCAGACTATTAGTAAAGAGAGGACAGGGCTGGGGATTACGCTCAAGGGAGGGACGAATGGACCGTTTATCCCTGTGAGTGATGAGGGAAGTCGGAATTGGTTTTATCGACAGGTTGCTGTAGGGGTCAATGCTTATAACGATCGGTGGAATGCGAAGGGTTGATTGGGATGAGTGAAAGGTTGGGAGTGGAGGTGTTTTCCAAGATGTTTGACAGGGAGAGACGCGGAGTAGAAGCGTTCCTTCAATGAGGTTTATGAGTACATGGCATAGCGTGGGTTCAGAATGGGCTTTCTGTTTCGATTCGGCGACCTATAGTGTTTACTCTTTCTATGATGAGCTTGATGAATGAGATATTCTTTTCTACAATAATGTCGCCTGATGGTGATGGGTGCGGGTCCGCTCTGAGAACTTTCAACATGGCCATTCTGAGCATATGGCAGCATCATCATGTGCGGAATCGATTCATGAACCTTCCTGCAATGTAATTACAAGGCCGCCTGGCTTTATCGAGATGCAACGATGGTTTGCGTCATCTGGTGCCGTGTCCACGGTGTTGACTTATCATTATCGCCGGGCTAGAGCGAGACTACGCCGAGCTATGTTCGAGTCGATGCGATCGTATGGAAAGGCCCACCACGCAAAGGCACATTTTGTCTCATTGTGACAGACTCGTCGCATGTATTTACGGGTCACGGCACTGTTGAGATCCACATGCGACCGCGATGCCGAAGCATGGCCGGCGATATGATGTAAACAGCGTGACGTCACACTGGCGTCGCGCGTCAACTTGCGGGGGAAAGCTTAAGCTTGCAGCTGCAATCGCAGTTACAGAGCGCTATCTTGCTCATTTCCTCGTTACTTCTCCTCCATATACCCTGCTCCTCGTCCTGTGTACATTACCACTTTGCTTCTGCATCTCTCTTGCTTTTCATACCCCATATTGCCTCCCTTCGATAATCTAATATGCTTCGCAACGGTGCGTCACGCCTCGCGCTGAGATCGGTAGCCGCGCCCAAGTCGGCACGACCGGCTGCAAGTATCACCCGCACAACACCTCAACTACAATGGGCAACACAATTTGGTTCCTTGGCTGCGAGGAGGCCGCAATTAGCGCAGGCGACTGCAGTACAACTGAAGCCGGCATCTGCAATCTTGCGCCGAAGCCTTGCTGATAAGACATTGACGGAAGGGCAAAAGCAGGCGGAAAGCAGATATGCACATGAGGAGATTAAGCCCACCCCAGAGACCGTGTCTAGCACCAGTTCCACACATCCCATGTTTTCCGAAGTTGGGGCAGAACAACCACAAAATGAGGTGGACATGATGGCGGGCGTGAAGCACGATGTGGTATGCACACGATACTCCCCATAGCCTCTCCGAATCAGGCATGCTAACATAGAGCAGCACACCATCAAAGACACATTTTCCCTTGCTAGTGTCCCACGAGAAGCATACTACATGGGCCTTGCCGGTACACTTCCCTACCTTGCAACCTCCATCTCCACCGTCTACCTATCCTGGGAACTCAATCACAGCGTCGCTGGCTATGGCATGATTTTCTCTGAGAAGAACGCCGCGTATCTCCTCACACTCATTGAGCCCCTGCAAATCGGATACGGAGCATCCATCCTGAGTTTCCTCGGCGCCATTCATTGGGGACTTGAATGGGCTGGCTACGGCGGCTACCAGGGATACAAGCGTTATGCTATTGGTGTTGTGGCACCCATGGTAGCTTGGTCGACATTGCTCATGCCGGTTGAGGGCGCGCTAATTTCGCAATTCTTGGGTTTCGTTGCGTTGTACTACGTTGATACTCGTAAGTCTGGATCTATTTCTCTTGTCCATGAAACTGTACTGATATCGAATACAGGCGCAACATACCGTGGCTGGACACCCAACTGGTACGCCGTGTACCGCTTTGTCCTTACCATGATCGTCGGTGCTAGTATTGTCCTTACCCTTATCGGCCGCAGCGAGCTTCCCGAGCACATTCCTGGATCTGTTGATAGGGCCAAGGTCTTCAAGGAGGAAGGCTCATCTGAGGAGAGGCTGGCTGAGCACGAAGAGGCGGCTGCGGAGAAGAAGAAGCACGCTGCGCGCAGCGACAACAGGGGTGAGAAATAAGCAGGAAGAAGAGCTCGGTTGAGGCGATGAACATCTCTTTTGTCTGTAAAGGCGTTCCTGGCGAGGAGGCCATGATTGTGCTTTCATCGTGTATATAATTCAGAGTACCCTGCTATGGCGTGTCATATCTCGAAACAAAGTTATTCAATTGCTTGTCTTGCCTGCTAGTCTTGTTAATTCACAATGCGAGTCTTGCGCATGTGAGAATGGTCCACCGACGCGACTCGCGCGCCCCAATGGCAACTGTGGCACCTCCGCCCTTGGCTCCGCACTTTGCGCACATGCTCCCATCGTCATCGCTCACAAGCTGGCCACATCCCACCAGTCCAATACCTTATCACCTCGGCCACTTTACCTACCATGCTATGAACACTACCAGTCGCATCAACTCTCTCACTCTGCTTCTTCTTCTCTTTTCAACGCGATGATCTCCTCGGGCTTCACAAACGCGCCCGTGACACAATTCCTCGTCTTCGGCACCGTCATTGGCGCGCTACTGGCTACGATTACGGATTCGAGATATTATTTGCATATTCAGGTCGTGCCGCATATTTGGCAGTATGGGCAGTTTTGGAGGTTTGCGGTTTGGCAGGTATGTGAGAGGTGGAAGAAGTGTATGAGAAGAAGAAGAACAAGGCAGACGCTGACATGTTATCCAATAGCTGAGCTTCACAAATTCGACTGAAGTTCTCTTCGCAGTATTGACGTTTTACCAACTGCGTGTCGTGGAAAGATTATGGGGGAGTAGGAAATTCGCTGTACGTTATCCCATCCACCTTCTCCTTCTTCTCTCTCTCTCTCTCTCTCTCTCTCTCTCTCTCTCTCTCTCTCTCTACCACGTCCAACTAACATCTCCACAGTCCTTTCTCCTCTCAACTCTCCCCTACACGACCCTTCTTCCTCCTCTCCTTCTAACCTTCGTCCTCCGCCCGTTGACTTTCGGCGCAATAAACTACCTCCCCGCTGGTCCTACACCCATCCTCTTCGCTCTCCTCGCAAACTACTACGCTGCGATTCCATATACATACCGGTATAAGATCTCGCCGTGGTCCGCGCCTACACCATCATCATCATCAACACAGTCGAATACCCAGTCCCTCTCAGCGCTCTGGTCACGCAGTCTAACGCTGACATCCAAGTCACTATCCTACCTCCCTCCCCTCCAACTTGCGCTCAGCCAATTTCCGGGCAGCTTGGTTGCGGCAGCTGTAGGGTGGGGCGTGGGCACGGCGTATCGGAGGGATGTGCTACCTGGAGCAAGCCGCTGGAGAGTTCCGGGGTGGATGGTTGGTGAGGAGAAGAAAGGGGGTTTCGAGGGGCTGAGGGCGAGGCTAGATGCTGAGAGGGAGAGGGAAGGTGGTGGAGCGGGGTTGGCGACGGGGATTCTGGCGGAAGACGGGCAGGCGAGGCAGAGGAGGACGTTGGGAGATATGGTTGCTGAGCAGTTTAGAGGGGATAGACGGGCGTAGATGGGTGACACAAAGATGTATGGTTCGTATAAAGGGTGTTGTATACTAACAGCTTGGAATACATGTTAGCTTCACTTATCATTGTGGGAGCTTTTAGTTCAGGGAGATGTGATGGTATTAAGTGATGTCGACGTATTCGACTAGTGATACAGGTTTTCTGCTATCCTGGCAGATGGATGTTGATGCGACAAAAGTCGCAGTCTCAAAATGAACCGCCCACGCTGTTAATAGGTAAAGATAGTTCGGACAAGCCGTCATGACCTCCTTGTCGGGTATAATCCTCCGCTCTCTGATAGAACGCCGGGAAAAAAGTTAGGAGGAAAGAATCAGGTCGTACAATCATTAGGAATTAACGGGAAAATATGGGAAGAAAAAAACAACAGGAGAAGGAGCAACTACTCAAGAAGCACCTTAACTTCTCCGTGAAGAAGATCCAACACTACCCCTGGTCTTTCGCAGAAAGTCGTCTTCGCTTTCTTTGACATTGAACAAGAAGTCCTGTTCGACAGGATGACTATTCAAAGCCGTCAGCGGCGTAGTCTCGCCTGGTTTCCGTCGGGAACCGCTGCTCCTCAGCGTATCGACGTAGGCATTTAGACCATTAGTTGTACGGACGGGATTGCCAGTGTCAATAGGAGGCGGAAGGGGAGCAACCGATCTCGACCTAGAATGAGGTTTAGAAGGTCGCGGTGTCTGTTGATCCCGTTGATCCTTTTGTTGTTGCTGTTGTTGTTGTTGCTGCTGAGCCAGTGCTTGAGGTAGAGTCAGACGATCTAAACTGCGCCACCATCCGTCCCTGTCTTCGCGTGGATCTACAACCGAGGTTAGATCGGTTGTGGAGGCATTGGAGACGGGAGGAGGGGAGGAATCGGAGGATATCATTTCCCACCCTGATGACATGAGGTCCGCGTTGGGGAGTGTATACATGGTGGATGGTCTGTCAGCATCGGTTGTTCGGCGGTGTGGTATGCGGCGTTGAAGGTGCTCGTCTGAATTTGTAGTACTCGCACGCTTGCTGGTGCTGCGTGAAGGGACCTGAGGGCAAGTCTCTTGCATGGACTGTTGGCGACCTGCAAAACTGGCGGAAGTGCTGGTGGTGTTTGGGACGTAACTTGATGACGGGCGGCGATCACTTGATTTCCTGCCTGACAAAGTCCTACGGGGGCGATATAAACCTCGCAGACCGTCCGGTTGGCGTTCGTGAGATTGTGGGGCAACTGTATGCGGCCGAGCTGGGGAGATCTCTGCTGCGTCCATCAGAGACCGTGAGGGCGGCTGGTAACCTTGGCGATGAGGTACGGGAGTCCTGGAGGGGGTGGCAGACCTGTCATCGGCGATGATTGTCGGAATCTCTTGTTGGTATGTAGTGGGAACCTGAGGAACTTCTGGAAGTGGGGAGGGAGACGCTTCGCGTAATGCCTTCAGAGAGACAGCAGACATACGCTCAGACAGGTCTCGAGCAGACTTCCGCCGCTCTTCGGTCAAGTCAAGAAACTTCTTTGACCGTTCTGAAGGCGTAAACGACCTTATCGATTCATGGCTCGGCTTGACTGACGGCGTGTCCTCTACCTGGCTGTAGTAATCCGAGTCGAAATGAGAAGTAGTGGGCCGTTCCTCGTCCACACTGTAGACGCTAGGCGGGTACTTTCCAGGAGTGTTGACGAGTGTGCTAGCGGGAGAATGGCTTTCTATCACCATGACGCGCTCTTTGAGCATCTTGAGTTCCTTGTCGAGTAAGGCCTTTTCCTCCTCCATCTTGATGATGCACTCGGCCGCTTCTGCAAGAGCAGTCTCGTGTTCTGCGAAGTGCGCGGCAGTCTCGCTTGCTATAGCGGTGAGCTCCACGTTGTTCATCCGCTGTTCTTCGTTGTCTTCTCGTAAGCTGGAGATTTCCTCACTCATCTTATCCAGTTTGAGTTTCAGTTGTTTGTTCTCCGCACGCAGCTCGTAGTTTTCATCCTCCAGTGGCTCAAGTCGCTCAACTTGTTCCTTTGTAGCCGTCAGTTGGTGCTGTAACTCTCTGTTGTCCTTCTTCAGCAGCTCCACCCGCATGTTGGAAGTCATTAACGACTCCTTTAGCTTCTGGATATCATTGGTGAGGTCTCGATTCGTCTTGGAGCGCGGCGTGCCAACATCGCTAGGTCTTCGTCGCCGGATGGGCGAAACGGGTGTTGTTTGCTCCTCGGTGAGGGCAAACTCGTCAAAGACATCGGGTGAGGTTTTGGGTGTATGTATATCCAAGGGCATCGACGTTGGTGGCGGTGGCGCCTTGACTTCCTGAGGCGAAGGAGTTGGTGTGTTCTGTGCCCTCCGTGCTTCCAGCGCATGTCGTAGGAATTCTGATTTTGGCGCAACAGAGTAAGTGCTCGGTCGCGAAAGCGTAGGTCTCATCTGGTCTGGCGTCGACGGCCTATAGGCAGTTCCCCGCGCAGAACTGTGTGGTGACGAAATGCTCGACATTTCGATATAAGGTTCCGGACAAGAATTAGGCCCGATAGAATTGCGCGTATGCTTTGTTCCTTTAAGTGAAGCAGTCGGTGGCAATACGTTGTGTATTGCGACTCGTGTGCACGAACAATGATCCCCCCTAGTTTGACCGTTGGGCCGGGAGTAAGACAGGCGGCGTTGTGTAGTTGGTCGAGAAGGGTTAAGACGGCGGCGGGGTATTATATGGCGTATGTGAGAGTTGTTGATGGGAAGGAGACTTGGGTGACGTCGCGTGCGAAGATGGGTGGATAGTCGCTCGAGAGCGGGTCGTTCTTGGGGTCCATTCGCGCTATAGCAGGGAAAATGCTACCATCAGAATCGCTGCGTGATCTGTCGCGTCCTGGGTTGTCGCGGTAAAAGGGAGATGAGCGGTGAAAGTAGTAAAGTTCGCGTTGCAGGTAGCGGTGAATCGCGTCAATCCTGACTTGACAGCAGGCAGGCGATGCGGGCAGCGAATTTCCAGAAAGTGGTGGTATGAAGAGCAACTCTGGCGACGCGGAGCAGAGTCGAAAATGCCAGATGTCTAGGGGATGGCGACGAACAGTCGCGTCGGGCAGCAATTAGAGATGGACGGTTGAGGGAGGGCCAGAAGGGAAGACTTGACTCGAAGAGGACAAGCGAGAAGGGGCACAGCGGGAGCCCTGGCCGGCGCGACCCAGCACAGCGGTCTGCAGGTGCCGTCAAGGCTTCCTATTTGCTGTTTCCGCTACGTGGGTGGGGGCGCCCTAGGAAGCCCCTGGCGTCGAAGAGTGCGGTTCCCGGGATTGCTGCATGAGCCCTCATGTCGTCACAAGAAACATCACGAACGAGACAATCGGGAATGCGGGGGATAGGCTCACCATTGCCTTTGGGCGCGCTCTGCCTGTCCTTCGCCTCCAACAGGAACCACATCACATAGTGCGAACGCGCCTACGAACCCCAACGCAACGCCATGTGGCGCGTTCCCAGACTATTTCGACTATGCTCAGTAGCGCTGCCTTCGCCGCAGGACAGTCCTGTCGCTCGTCTCTCGTCGCCGAGGTGATTTGTGATGTGGCACGCGACTGTGTCCAGGCCTCCTAGTACCCATCATGTTTCTTAATTTCTGCAAGTCGTTCAACTTAGTCGACGTGTTTCTCGCGATAACGAGTCTTGCACAGAACTGGTCCTGCAACTCGGCCTTGTCCTTGTTACGGCGTGCATACTTCAGCTGTCAAGCTCAGGCCTCAACCTTCGCTATGCCCAAGCATTCGGGCTCCTCTCTGACAAGAGATCGCCCGGCATAATGTCGGTACTAGTGCTGTCAGTTCGGCTGTTTTTATTTTGTGTTTAGTCCAAAGTCTGAAGTTTCGCAATGTGGCAAGTAGAAGAGGGGGTGTCTTGGTCGCTCCATGGAACCACGTCTGTCTGCTGTGCATGTGTGGGGCCCAAGAAAGAATTATTGTGTGTTGTATCGTCAGATATTAAAAGTGTACAATGATGCCGGCGCCTGGGTGTGGGGTGCCGTAAAAGCCTCTGCGTGTGTTGGAAATCACTCCATCTCAACAGCGACTCCAGCCTGTCGCAGCCGATCTTCCCACTCGAGGCGCAGTTTCTCCATCTCCTCCCAGCACCTCCTCCCCTTCTCCGTGAAGCGCTCTTGGCTCTCCTTGGTCAGGTCTGTCGCGTACGGATCCCTTCCCTTTCTCTTGTATTCGCCCATCTTGCCTCCCCAACCCCATCCTGTCACCTCTGTGCGGTCCACACGTTCTCGGCCCCAAACATCGGTCGCGCTTCCCCACTTGCCCACACCTTCCTTTGCCTCCATGTTGTCCAGCGTGCTCTGACTAGCAAGTGCCAACCAGACCATTGCCGTTGCGCCCTTCTCGACATCAATCGTATGCCAGTCGCTGCCAAGCAATCGCCCAATGTAGAAGGAGATGACCATGCACCATTGAAGGATGAGGGGAAGAGGTACGATCGAGGTAGCGCAGATGCCAGGGTGAGAAACGTAGAGTCGCGGCTTCGTAGTCTTTTCCGAATCTTGGGCGTGATGGAGATATTCGTCAACAGATTTTGTTGTTGAGGGCAGCGTAGAAGTGATGGCCAGGATATCGGTTAGCCTCTTGGTGCCCTCGTACGGCATATCTGACAGAATGCCTTGCATGTCTTGCAGGTCGAACACATGGTCGTATGCTTCCAAGCTGCTGACCCAAATCATCCTCCCCCTTGTCTTCTCACTCTTGGGGTGTCTCGCCAACAAGGGTGCGAGGTAGTGACCAAGGAGGTAATGCCCAAAGACATTAGCACAGAAGACCTCGCCTAATGGAGGCTCTTCTTCCGTCTTCTTGTCCGCAGGTATTTGCGAATTTTTTACTGTCCATCCAACGCCAGACATCTTGTATGTAGGCCAAGTGATGGCCGTTCTCCACTTGGTGAGGATTGCCCATATGGCACCGGGCCAATTGATGCCAGTCCATCCACCAATGCCAGCATTGCAGATGACTGCATCGAGCTTTGGTGTTGTTTCCCGGAGCTTCTTGCTCAGCTTCTGTACTGAGACCAGACTGAGAAGATCTAGTCTCTCCTGGCGGAAAGACACGCGATTCTGCAGCACCTGTGCGATGCCCGGTAGTTTTTGTTCATGGCTGCGGATGACTTTGCGAAGGTGCTGTTCTAGCTTCTCGATTGTCGCATCGCCTTTGCGTTGGTCGCGTGTGGTGATGATGAGGACGAGGGACTCGTTTTGGGGGCGAGTTTGCAGGAATTCGTCAATCAGGCGGGTTCCGATACCAAGTCCCAGGCCACTACAGGCGGGTCAATTGAGCGTCGCGCAGGCGGACAATGGGATACACGAACCTGTTGGCCCCAGTAACCACGACATAAAAGCCATTGTCGGGTGTGGGCGTGTCTTCACGGTGAGGCATCGTCGCTGATGTGAGGGATGATTCGCCTATGCACAGCGTTCCTGGTTCCTGACTCCATTTCGGAAAGGAGCGCGCATTGACCAATCACGGCATACACGACTTTCTAGCACGATTTCTGGTTGGACAACTTATGCATATCTGTTTCTGTCGTCTGAACACGCTCTTCCATCATCGTCAACTACAGACCCAGAAGCATAATGTCTGAGGGCATGTTTGTTTCTCCTTCTGGCGCTTCGTGACGGGACTACCTACCACACCGCACCATTGAAACCCAATATGCGACTAAGTCGGTCTGAAGACCGCCTAAACGGACTTGACGTTCCGAACTCACTCCACCCTCTTTAGAAACAAAACGCAACTGATCAACAGTAGTTCCAGTAGTTTCAGTAGTTCCAATAATTTACCGGTTAATGTCGACTCGAGGTCTCTTTTGGAAGTTCGGCGAACAAGGTTTGCACCGTGCGAACGCGCCAAACCAAGGACCTCGTTGCGAACCACGATGATCACGATGCACGAATAGTGTTGACTCAAAGAGGGTTGCGTCTTGAGAATCTAAACTTTGCGGTGGGGGTAAGTCGTTGGTGCGTAGTCTGCCTTCCCGGACCACGATCTCGACATCTACCTTGTTGCACTCTTGCGATCGATGTGCAAGTGTTCCAGGGTTGACCGTGTAACAACCACCAAGAGATCCACAGCATGGACCTGCGAGTATGTACAAAGAGTGCTAAGACTCTTGGTTTGTGATTCGCCTACTCGATGCTTAGAAAGCTCCGCAGATCAGGTGTCCACGGACCCGGCCAAGACGCGTCGTATGTCACCGCGTACGTAGACTTCTGGTGTCGTCAGCTGGAGACCTATCAAGCTCCAGATCAACATATCCGCAAGGATGTGCTAATGTGACTGAGAACCCAGACACCAGCCGGCAAATTCTGTCGGAATGTCGCGGATATGGGATAGGGCATTGTAGAGGCTTCTCCTCATGCACACCAACCTTGCGTCAGCCCTACCGCAAGCTTCGCCGTTCTTGATTACTGTCGCCATCGGTGAATATGCCGAGACATGGCGGAGACGTGATCACCCGCCTCACAGCACGACAGTCTTGCTTACATGCGCCTCCGGCCAAACTTACGAGTCCTCCGTGACCAGGCCCATCCCTGGGGCAGGGATGGGGTCGTGGGGTATGTTTGCGGTAAGACCAGGCGATTGACATCGGCAGGTACATCTTCACATCTGATAGAGTCCTGAGCCCCATGGCAGCCCAATGCGGTGAGGCTTACAGTGTTCCATGATCCCTCCCAGCAAACTCATGCCGTGGTGAACTGACAAATCGTGCCATGCTGACCAGTCTTCGAGCTATTGGATTTAGCGGTTGTGAGGTTATACAGTATACGATCAACCTCATACGGTACCAGTAGTATGGGGAAGCGGAGGTCAAAGCATGTCACCGAAGACGGCCCGCGGTCGCAGTACGTCACTGAGCATGTTTTCGGACTCGGCTTGCGTCGGATTCCAGATTGTGGTAGCAAAAGCGATGATTCAGATTAGCAAAAAGGGTGTTGTGAACAGAAGCCAAACTTGCAATCTAGACCCAATATACTTTGCGTTTGTTTGCTGCATAGCGAGCTATCTCCACGCCATGGACATGGTAACCGATGCTAAAGCTCCGAAGCGATCCACGACTAGCTCTGCGTCGTTATGCACGTCATACCTGTAGCCTTTACCTGCGTCTCAGATCGTACTAGGAAAAGGCCAGACTTTGTGCCGTACCGTGTCCGTAGTGGGGCGGAGAAGGCTCCGCTGTTTCCATAGCGGACAATCGCTCAACGCCTTTGCGGCCGCACTACATGTCGGTGTGAAGACTCCGAGCCGGCCGAGGCTGAGCAGGACGTGTGTGTTCATTCACACCAAGACGTTTGCGGAATGTCCCGTTTGAGGAGTTCTCTTGGGTGAAGAAAGTTTGTCAGGGCGGTATATCACTCAGCTGCTGATTTTCCCGCCGTTCCAAGCCCCTCCATGTACCCCAATACCCACACATGGGATCCTGACCGGGCTGATGAGGTTGAGGTTGTGACCCAGCTCTTGGGAGATATGCAGCAGCGGGCTCGTCAAACATCGGGCCAAGTGTGGTGGACGTTTACATAAGACACAGTCGGGCCGTTGAACCTGGGACTTGCAGCATGCAAAAAGGCAAAGCAGCTGACCTTGCGCTGTTTATCATTGCTGGTGACAGCCCGGGCCGTGCCGGATAGGCAACCAATTGCGGATCCTCAGGGCTCAGGCACCAGGCATGAAACATGATCCTCCTCGACTGCGTGTCACCTGTCAGGCTCGATGTGACAGTGGCAAGCCTCACTTCGCATTCCGCGTTACAGACAGAAGCTCGATACGAGGTAGGGGTCGCGGAAGTGCCGGCGCAAGTTGCAAGTGCCGACATACGGTAAATAGAGTCTCTCCGATTCGCCGTTTGGCTAGGAGGTTCGCTCCGGCGCTTCCAGTAGTGGGCAAAGGAGAAAAAAGCCGTGATGCAGATATCAGAGACAAAAATACGATGGTGTTGTAATCAGAGGGTTATAGTATGGTGCGATCGGCAAACCTAATTAAATATCTCATTCGTTCCGTATAATGTGCTGATCTTATTATGATTAGCCCATGCATCGTAAGCACCAGGAAGTGGCTTGCAAGGACGTTGCCGTAGGTTGACGACACACTTAGTGTGTTCGTGGAGATGGGATTCTGGGCCACTGACTGCTGCGCCCTTTTTGAAGCGCGCACCACTTTTGACTGGGGTGAGACGGCAGCAGATAACATGACCGCGCATGCATGCGGAACTCGTACCATTCCAAGCTTTGTGGCACAAACATCAATGTTAGTACAGACCGTTATATCCACTCGGGCACATTTCTGCGCCAACTCACGACATCTGGATGCCGGAACTTTATCCACGCGAATCGCTACGAGTCACATACCGTGCCCTGGTAGACCCACCTGGCGTCATTGCATCACGACCGGGTGCGTAACTGTCCGCCAACAGCCATTATCCCAAGATTGTAACGGAGCCCAACACAGGGCTTACTGGCCCTGACCCCATGCCAACTCAGAATTAGGTTTCTACTGAACGCGGGGCGGCGGGAGGTAGGCTTACAAGGCCGGAATCGCCCGTGCCGTTTGGAGTGAAGGGAAACTATGAGATTTCTTGGATGAAGCTACATAATTGGATTTCATGGGTGGCGATACAACCACAGCTGTGGTTGCTCAACAAGCTGCCTCGTGACGAGGTATGGTCCTGTCATTGCTATGTTAGTTTCAAGTTGCGTTGGGTTTGGGGTCATTGGAGCGGGATTAAAAACCGTAACCGCTGGATATCAAACTGGCAGTAGGATCGTAGTGGAGTGATGGGGGATTGACTTTCTGCTGTGCCTCATTTGCTTCGCGGCCGCTAATGTGGCACTTTTACCAGGTTACGAGTATTTGAGGACGTTTATGGCGGGCGGGATGGTGGGGAAACGTCGGCTTTGGGTACGAGTCGTGCCGCTGCATATCAACGGCTTACACTGTAACTTCACACGGCTCAGGGTGCAGTCGTTTGGTAAGCCGAGGCAGGTATACTGGTACACAGCTAGGTACTTGGTACTTCATGATCTTATTTTCGTTGCACATTGTAGCCTCACAAATTATTCCAGGGCAACAGCAACATGTTACGCCGTATTATTCCCTGCTCCTGCCTCATCATGCGGTTGGACTGTGAGTCAGTAGCGTAGATCCTCATCCTCCCGTGCAGCCTCGACCACAATTATGATTCGCTTCCAGAAGATTACCAGAGTGGACCGTAGGCGACTATCTCCTGACTCACTGTACCTGATTCTGGAAAAGGTGGTACGCATCGTCCTCTGCGTCTTGCAGAGGCAGCAAAGGCCCCACCGTCGAGTCGAATTTCGCGTACCACGTGGATGTGGAGAGCCACATCTTCTGTGTCGATGAAACTGATGTGGCGTCATTCACATAACCTCCCCACACACGCGAAGCATGTAATCGTCAGCGTTATGCGTCCGGTGATATTGACGCTCCAACTTCCTCCTAGGGAATTTGTTGATGCAACGGGATGTCGATGTGGCCGGCTTGGTTCGCGTTATCCCTCTCGAAGACTCCGATTAATGTGATGACGGATGACCCAGTCTTCTAGTGATAACAAATCATTAGTGGACGTTGCTGACTCTTGACATCAACGAAACCTTGGGGCCTAGTAAGGAGGATCGCGACTCTGGTCGCCAGTAGCGATAGCGACATCCTTTGAACTATACATAGGCGTAGTGACTCGTACAGTTTGCGTTACCATGCAACGTAGCATGCGAACCATATATCAAGTCAGCTCGTAAGATACGGTCGCGTATACGCAGCCCGGTCGTGCCTTCGGCGAACTGAAACTCGTGATTGGCTAGACTGCATAATTAACAGAGGGTTCTTATGGTTTTACCAGTCGTCTTATTGCGTTCCAGGGACCCGGTAAGCCAGACCAATGTAGTAACCTGCATAAGTTTGTCGTAGCTGCAGGTAGCGACTTGGTGCTACGGCACGAAATAAGAAACCAAAAGGGGACATTCGGCCGACCATTATTCTGACATTTTTTCCAGTCTAACGCGCGAAATATACTCAGAACCGCGCGAACCGAACGCGAGTGCGATCCAGCATTACAAGCAGGCACTGTCCAGGTGGGTGCTCGAGAGTTTCTGAAGCTACAAAACTGAGACAGTTCGGAGAGGTCGCCGACATTGGGCCGAAGCGCTGAGATTGCCTGGATTTCGAGGATACTTTCTCGGAAGGGGGTCGGAAGGGGGCGAAGTGAACGTAGGATCACTGCGGTGAATATTCCGCGTTTTGTTTATGTTCCACGTAAGTGGCGGTTGATTTGGTGGCCGATTGCGTGTTTCGGAGTTGTGGCCGTCGGGTGAGATCTGGTGTGTCACCCACGATTTGGTTTGGCTAATGCAACCATAATATCGTGCAAACTTTGATTAGAAACTGAACCCTTTTTTCAAACCGCGAAGTCCTTTAGGGCTATCGTATTGTTGTAAATGCTGTCGGGAGTGGGATGAATCTCCGCCATCGTAGCTAGTAGCCTGTGCCGGACATTGATGACTATAATCTCGGTTAAGTACCAAAAGTCGGCGAAGCAGTGTTGGGAAGAGTGGTGAAAAATGACTTTTGAAATTGACAGTGATGATACATTCGCCTATCCAACAAAGTACGAAAAGGATTCAAATGGGTATTGTGCAGCTGTCCGCCGTGTACGCCGTGCTATATTGCAACCGTGACTATAGGGAATGATAACGAGAGCATGGTTCGTGTTATCGTCTGCAGTCGCCTTGGATGTGTTAAAATGGATCTCGTGATACATGTTGGGTCGTGGAGTTACGAACCGCAGTTCTCATTAAGTCTGTATTCTCTGGGCCATAAGTCAGTATAGGAATACGATGGATTAGAATGAGCACTTACACTGCCGTGACATTGGCCGGACACCTTACATGCGTTTGTTGGTACTTGGTACACCAGGCTTTGACGACATAGCGGACGTGAGCGCACTTGTATTGCACTTGTGTGTAGTCGCACATGATGACCGAAAAGGAAAGCTGTGAAGTGTTGTGGTCGAATGACGAGTAAGAATTCCAAGAGGATGTACAAATGCAACAATGGATGGCAGGCAAATGATTCTGTTGGTGGGTTGGTGAAATCTCCGGATTAGCATGCAGCTGCGCGACGGTCCGTTATGTTATAGTGAGCCAGACGGAGCAGCAGACAGACGTCAGTGCAGTTCAGGTACCCGTAGGAGCTATGCAAAGCTAGCCCATGTCAATAGAACCTGGTTCGTCAGTTGACATGCATCATGGTAGTGGCCGTGAATGTTCAACGTACCCGGGAGCCCGAGAGCGGTCGAGCCTTTTACACACCATAGACCTGGGTGGGGACCTTCATGTTTGAAGTGCTCTCGCTTCCAAGAACCTTGAGGGACAAAGGTAGCAGCCCAACCCGGGTGCCGAGAGGGACTACAGGGTCTTCTGGCCGTATTTGAAGAAGAATGAATGCAAGCGTGAAGGTCCTCGGTCTTGCTCTCAGGGTAGAATAGCCAGCGGGCTGCCAACGGCAGTCTCTGAGTGGTCGAAGCACTATAGCATTTAGAACTGCGCCAATCCGCCTTGTCCGTTAGTGTGCACTAAGTTCAAAGTTATCAGACGTGCACAGATCAAGTTTGATCTGCGACTACGGTTCCACGTTAAGGTGGCCCGTGGGGTGTGCAGCCGTTGGAAAATCCTTGACCGTGGCAGACACTAAGCTTCGGAGGCCAGGGGCCACCCTTCCTTCACATCCTGCAGGTCGCGAGAGAGATCAATTGTATACTAGGTGGCAATTAATGGCATCGTTTACACACTGCTAGAGCGAGGCCTTTACTGCATCGAGGCGCCTGTTTCATCCTAGGCGTGCCTTTCTCGGCAACACTTCACCGGAGCTTCCACCGATGTGTGTCCTTTATGCTTACTATCCCGCTTCCCCGGCCCCAGTCCATATCGCGAGAGCATCCGGAGGTCAAGTGTTGCGCAATCATCATATGCCGTCCCGTGTACGGTGAGCGCGGCTGCGCGACATGATCCCACCTTTAGTGGCTGCTGGTGGGGTCCTGGTCGCCGGCCTCACTTTCTGATTTCGTGAGCATAACGTTCGAGGTACATTGTCAGCAGGGCAGATTCGGGGTTGTGTTTGAGTTTCGGAGCGTCTGATGAACCCAATGCTGGTGTTATCGGGTTCCGTTTCGTCCGCATGACGCCATGTGATTGAGGTTTCTACCTGCCGCAACACTGACTCTCAAGTTCGCAACTCTTTCCACACATGCTACTCTACACCGACACCTGCTATATGTGAACGGCACAGCTCTAGCACCTCGTACGTTACCTAGGTAGGCTTCCCGCATTGACGGCCCATGTCCAGGTCGCTGTGCCATAACTGCATTGAAGAACAGCGACCAATGCCATCGCACGGGATTTCTGAGAAACGTGTGCATATGCATACACATCGACCAGGAATCTGGTAGTCTTGACCCGCGGTAAGACTGTCTAGACCGTGCTGCCCGGGCGATGGAACACTAAGTGGCTGCAAAGTGCATGTCGGCTCGAACAACGCACGGTAAGCTACAACCATAAGGGACGTGGATGCTGTTCGGTAAGGAAAAGACCTGCCGAGACTGGGAATATACCGACCTATGAAAGAGATGGGATTCTGCCGCTTCTCGGGGACGAGACCAATGCAGGGTGCCTTCTCTTATGGCGACCAAAGATGCAAACGCATGCAGAACGTACCAGGATCGCGTCCCCTGGACTGAGCAGGCCTTGTATACAATCCTTCGCTGATCGGAAAAGTTCACCGGCTGGCGCTCGCTTCAGACGCGAGCTTCTGAGAAGCCGACCCGACAACCCCCTCAACGCAAGGAACTTCGTTACAACGGACCATGACCGCATACACATGCATGATGCATCTCTCATTCTGGAGTTTTGAAGTAGATCAAAAGGTCTTCACACCGCCCAAGTGTGGCATAGCTCCGTGTCCTCCATTTGTGGGCCAGGATATATTGGATGCCACAGTCTCCGCGTTAATGCAACCTCAACAGGAAGCGGAACCAGCAATCCGCAGTACCTGCGTTCTGGGAGTCTTGATATGCCAGTGGCTTAAACAAGGCGCCACACCTACCACTTTGTTGAGAATGTTGAGAATATTATGAACATATCATTGGCTCTTGTATCCGAAATTCTACAAGTTGTGTAGGTAATCGACTATTCGTTGGCGAGCATCACAAGCCATTCAGGCTGAACATAAGACATGGATGTTAGCATTTAATGCCACCAGAACGGTGAACTAGCTGATCAGAGACTATACCTCGAACCGTCCCTCCCCCGCGTTGCCAATCCGGTGGTAGCGCCAGAAGCAGCAGTGTGGCTATAGGACTAGGTTCCATATGTTCTATATGCTGACAACCTCTCCACAACATGATTCGGTATGACAGCGGATATCGGGTGGCACTGGCCCGAACGCTTGCCGATCACCAGATTCCTACGCGAAGATGCTTTCGTTTGAACTAGTTCATTACTCTTCATACGAGGATGCCAAGGAAAGCATCACGTCGGTTGCGGATATATAAATCTCCATAATACGCGTAGATCATGAGAACTCTCCGTTGGCTTCTCCAGCATCTAACCAACCACGACACATCTCGACGGCCTAAATAAAAAATCAAAGTCAGCACATGCCATTCTCGCAATTGGTTCGTGGAAGTTACTTACCCTTCCCCACTTCTTAAACATCTTCTCGCCTACCTCCTTGTCGACATTTGGCTTGAAGACCATGCGATCTTTCTGATTAATCTCCTTTAGTTCGTCAAACTCTTTCCAAACGTCGACAGCAAAGCCAGCTGCGATGGCTGCGCCCAAAGCTGTAGTTTCGCGCATGGCGGGGCGGTCGACGGGAATGCCGATGATGTTTGCTTGAGTCTGTTCCAAATGGTTATTCCAGGGCCACTTCATCGGTGTCTCTGGGTGCCTTCACTTACCTGCATGCACAAGTTTGAGTTACTCATTCCACCATCGACTGCAAGCATGTTAAGCTTGTGGCCACTGTCCAGCTCCATGGCGTCTAGAATTGCCCTGGTCTGGAAGCAGGTCGCTTCCAAGGTTGCGCGAGCGATATGTCCCCGCTCAGTGAATTGCGTAATACCGAAAATAGTACCCTTAGCATCGTCGATCCAGTAAGGAGCGAAGAGACCACTGAAAGCTGTTACGAAGACACAACCACCGTTGTCTTCCACAGAAGCCGCAAGATCACTAATCTTGTGTGAATGTGTGATGAAGCCCATGTTGTTCATGAGGAACTTGACGCCACTACCCGCAACCGCAATACTGCCTTCGAGTGCATATACGGGTTTCCGCTTTCCGCCAAAGTCGTATGCGACAGTAGCCAGAAGCCCGTGCGAAGAAATGACAGGCTTTTCTCCCACATTGTAAAGCAAGAAGCAACCAGTGCCGTACGTGTTCTTCGCAGAACCGGGCGTAAAGCCTTGTTGACCAACCAAAGCTGACGATTGATCACCCAAGCACCCTGCAATTCGAACACCTTCCAATATACCGGAACGCAAGAATCCGAAGTCGTCTCGCGATGAAGACGGCACAATTTTTGGTAGCTTGACCTTGTTTTTATCGATTCCGAAGAAATCCAAGAGCTTGTCATCGTACTGAACGGTGTGCCTGCAATTGCATTAGCCGACTTTGTCGCTTAATTCGAAGCGAGCGGAGGTTGACATACAGGTTCATGAACATGGTTCTAGACGCATTGGTAGTGTCTGTCACGTGAATGTTTTGTTCTGGTCCTCCGTTCAGGTTATATAATATCCATGTGTCGATGGTTCCAAAGGATAATCGCTCCTCGTCGTATGCCTTGCGAACGTCTTCGTTGTGGTCAAGCAGCCACCGGAGCTTGACTGATGATGGGTAGGTCGATAGAGGAAGTCCACACATATTGCGTATGTCATCAGCGCCCTCCTTGTTCTTCAACTCACGGACCAATCCCTTGGTTCTCGTATCTGGCCTGGATTCACAAAGTCAATCGCTGCCCATTCGAATCTCGTACACACGTTTTACTTACCAAGCGATCGCATTACATAATGGCTCACCAGTATTGGTGTCCCAAACGACTATTGTTTCACGCTGGTTGGTGATACCGACAGCCTTGATGTCTTCGATTTCATGGCCGTTGTCGAGGAAGATATTCGTAGCCCGGTCAATGCATTGTTCTACCGAATGAATGATCTCTTTCGGGTCGTGTTCATGCCATCTGCGCCAATTAATTCACGTCAACAACAAGATTTCGCCTGTACTGACCCTGACTGAGGATATTGCTGGTTGAACTCGATCTGATGTTGAGCTACGGGCTCACCAAGGCCGTCGAAAATAATGAAGCGAGTACTTGTAGTTCCTTGGTCTATGGAACCAATAAAGAACTGCCTCAGTCTCCCCTCGTCCAAATTCGACTGTGGCTCTTCTGCAATTTCCTCTTTGGGGACTGGCTGCGGCTCAGTATCGTGCGCGGAAACGTCTTGTGTCGCCATGCTGAGAGATGTGCTGTTCTGTTCCACGGGTGTACCTAACCCGTTGTATTTATACGGAAGATGTCTTCCGTCCGCGGTCGGAATCGTAGAATATGCGCGACGGGTGCAGCTGTTGGTCGCGAAGTGGTGCTTTCTAAAATTCGGTACCAAGAATGGTACTGGGTATTGCGACGGTACGGAAAAATTTCTAACCAAGCCAATCAGGTCTGACAACCGATTAACTTCTTTGCGGTGTCCGCGCTGAAGGATGTCTGAACTGCGACGAGTTGAGTGCGGGTGTGCGGTGCCGCAGCAAAGCGCAAATGCCGATGGTGCTGTTCCGAGGGGGTGCTGCGAAAGTGTTTCGCGACAAAGAACACCGAGTTTGGGTGTGTATAACTTAGGATTTGAAGTCGAGGTGGTAAAAGGAGAATCGCAACAGGAACATCGTAGAAGGACGAAGGTTTCGGTGTTTAATCGGCAACGGAATCCGAGCGCGTGCCTTTCCTATGCGGTGTCTGCGGTATGACGCTCGAAGAGGGGTGGTTTTGCCTTTAAAGCGGGGGAGGGGAATAGCTCCACGACCAACAACACGACAGCAAAGATGCCCAGCCTTGTCACATGGAGCCTCAAATCTTTCAGCCTCCTCCGGAGCTCGAGAGTCAAGCCGTTGATCGGTCTTCACATCGTCGATCAGGCCAAATGCTAGCAAAACTAGACTCCTTGCCCGGCAAAGCATCCGCGCGCATGTCAGTGTGACTTCACATACAGCGGGTCGCGCGTCCAACAGATCCACATAAGAAGACGCCGTCGGTATTTCTCCAGTGGGACTCCAAGGGGTTGTGGGACACCCGCATCGAATCCACCCAGAGCCTCATGAAGCTGCCAGCGGAATCACAACATGGCGCTCCGTGCTCATATTATTGACAATATAGCTCGTCGGCTTTCCCCCGGATTTCACGACTTCTTCACCGGCCAACGAACATCCATTGTGCCAAGCTGTCGACGAAGCTCCCCCTGGTGCTGACGAGCTGACACGATGTCAGTACATGTCGTTTAACTTCGACAATGACTCGTTGTTCTACTGTGCCACAATGGATTTCCACCTGCGCAGATCAATGAATAGGATGGAGCCATGGATGGCATTCAGCGTGGCGACCACGCAAATCCGATAACAAACATAAAATCAGCATGTCATTGGACGATCATCGTGCAACACCTGCGGAGGACCACGGGCGTTCTGGACTTTAAAAAGGTTCAGGGAGAGAAGCTTCGAGACACTGTATTCTGCATCTCGGAGGTGCGGGCATCGGAAATGACCATGCGTAATGTGTGATGAGTTGGTTCGGACGTGGGATGGTTACCGGTATAAAGTTAGGCATCCGCGCCAAGTGGAGCGGAGTGGGTAGGCCTCGTAATGGCGGAAAGTCAAACTAATGTTGGGGATCGCGACGGCACGTGACGTCTACATGGGGAAGGTTCTTGGCCTCCACAACACCCGCCCCAGTTCATCCTCCAGACATGTCTATGCAGTTGCTGCCAAAAGAACTACGCCTTCAGATATGGGCGCTGGCGTACTACAACGAGCCGCCTCGCCTGGTAGCACTGGAGACCAACCCCCACGATGAGGATCATGACGAAACGCACTTTTGCCCGCGATACTCCCCTAGTCCTGCGCCAGTGACGGTAAATCTATGTCATGAGTCGCGCGAAGAAGCTCGGTACCAGGCTGTGAAAGCAAACCATATCCTGCAGGTACCGTGCAGCAATTCAGATACTGGCTGTGGCGAATTCTACTTCCGCATCGATACCGACATCCTCTTGCTACAGCTAGAAGGCACGCGTGTTAAACATTACGATGACTCGCCCGAAGTAGGACTACTGGCTCACTTCAGCCATGCAACGGGCTGTGATCCCCAAGAGCTGCAGAAGGTCGCTATTACAAAAGTTATACTGAATGGATTCAGAGACGGCAGCCTATCAAACGTCCTACGCGACTTTCCCAAGATATCGCACATGGTCATGATGCTCACCAACGAGATACTAGAGGACGATTTGGAGAAAGAGTTGTTTGTTCGCGCTGCTTCAAGGATAGTTCGCATGTACAAACTCGACTTGATGAACCTAGCTACTAGTCAAGGGAAGACGTTCAAGCCACATCCCTTCAACGTGGATTTTGCAAGGCTTCACCATGGTCGGTTGGATATAGTCTCGAAAGATGTTTGGCGTGACTGGAGCGATGGCGGAGAAGAGTGGGCAACGCTCGATAACTCTGAACCATTCTGGTAGCTTACCAATCGCAGCGCATACGATGAACAAGCTGTGCGCATACTTTCACAGATGAGATCCACAGGCAGTAGATAATGGGTCATACATGTAAGTCGAGAAATGAAACACACAAGAGCTAGGAAGATACCGGAGTAGAACAGCCACAGTCAACAATGGCCGGCACAAGCATGGAACACCTTCAACCGCGCATCTCAGCTCCTAGAGCCTGTATCGCCAAGATAATGGCGTTCAGAGCTCAATCTGACCTGTACCATCAATTGTTTTCCGGAGCCATAGCCACTATCTACCATATTACCCGACAGATTTACGCTCCGGCGATTAATCATATCAGTTGTGGGTCTACAAGAAAAAGCAAGTGAGTGCATAATCGGATAAGCATGCGGTCGACCCATCGAAGGACATCTAGGCCATCGTCCACCTCAGCCTTGAAGACTGCAATACCATTATGAGATACGAAAACAAAGGGAGAAGGCGATCATGAAGAAACGGACTGTAAATGGTTCTTCTCAAGTCTAGCTATAGCCGTTTGAACGGGACTCAGCAACGTAAAAGGTCGTACATATATCATAAATCTCAACACTATGCCTCAATCTTAACCGCAGCTCCGACCTCCCTAATCCTCCCCTCCAACCTCGGCGCAATAGCCTTTGTCCAATTAACCTGGAACTCACCACCACCAAGCTCATCACACAGCTTAGGATTGCCCTTGAGACCAGCAACACGCCACCACTTCCTCATAACCCTTCTGATCATCTCCGTCTGCTTGTCTGTGAACTGTATTGGCACACGGCTATCATACATCGGTCCGTCGTCTTCATCTTCATCGACGTCCGGGTCTTCCGAGTCGGTAGTGTCGTTCGGGCTGTTGTCGCGTTTGTTCGAATCACCCAGGACTCTGCTCACGCCTTGATCCACCGGAGGAGCATTGTTACCACGGGACTGCGTGGGGGATGTAGGAGATGGGTCGTGGAAAGCGTGACCGTGGTTCTTCTGCAGATTCGTTTGAATCGATGTGAATTTCGTGTTCATGGATTTGCCCCAGCGTTTCCATTTGCCTAGTACTTTGAGAGACATGAAGTATTGGCGGAGGATGGTGGAGATAAGAACGCCGTTTTCTTCCGAGACGAGCTCTTTGGCAACTCCGCCTTCTTCTTCGATGAGGAGGGATGTGTAGCCGTCTAGGTGTAGTTGATTAGTGGAAACTCTTTGTGCACTGGGGATGTCGTACCTTTTCCACGGCCCATGTACCCTCTCGTAGCGAGTACGTACTCTCGCTCCTCATCTACAGGTTCCTCTCCAATCGTCACATTGGAAACCCGCGAATGTGGTGGTTTCGAGTAGTCCGCTTCAAAGGTAATGTTCGATACTTGCGGGAATCTTCCTTCTAGTGCCGGGTAATTGCTGACGCCGTTTTCTAATGCTTCTCGAATTGCCTTGCCGGTGACCTTCAGTACCACGACCGGATCTTCAAACGGGAAGCAGTTGACAAGATCCCTGAGCTTCAACAAGCCAGGAGGGTAGATTTGATCTCCGCGTATCGTTCCGGCTGCCATGATACAGCACTCGGCTGAGTAGTAGTACCTCATGAGATCGCAGACAAAGTTTCCAATGTTCGACTCTCTTGTTCGTACGGTTGTGAATCGGGCGTCGAGTGGTGCGGCGGTATATCCAATAGGTTTGTCTAATCGCTTTCTAATCTCCCGTGTCTGTTCTTCTACCAGCGCCATGGCCTGGGGATCTTGAGGTATACTGCTGACAATGTCTCGCCGTATGATCTTGAAGTCCCATCCCTTGCCCTCTGGCTTCCGCCATGCCTCAACGTGAGACAGTTGTTTGAAGTCCGTGCCTGACCGCAGTACTTGTGTTCCGTTGATAAGGTTGTATGAGTAGTAGTGGTCATGTCCACCCAAAATTATATCAATCAATCCTCCTCCAACTTGCTTTGCCAGCTTGTTGTCGTTTGGCTCTCGCTGATGCGACACGCAAACGATTATCTCTGCGCCCTGCTCCTTCAGACCTGGTATGAGTTCCTTCGCAGTCTCGGAGGCACTCTTGTATATGATGTCCGGTGGTAGCGCGTTGATTGTGTCGAGCCACTCTCGTTCTGCGAGTCCGATGACGCCGACTTTGATGCCGTTGGATGCCGTGAGCATGACCGTCTTCTTCGCGTTTCCGAGGGGGACACCGTCGCCGAGGGCTGGGTCGTGGACGTTCGCGAGGAGCCATGGGAATTTGCATTTGGCTGTGAGGTAGCGATACTGCTTTACACCAAAGTCGAGGTCGTGGTTCTATGTAAGCGTTAGTTGGGCTCGGTCTCTGTAAACTACGATGTACATACTCCTACGCAAGAAACGTCTGTGCCAATGTTGTTTAGTACAGGGACCATGTGGCTTCCTGGTAGTCGTCGTCAGTCTCCTTGCATAAGCTATGGCGATTCGGCTCACTGACCCTTTGTGATACTACTCTCAATGCTCGGGTTGAACGCATCACCCGAGAAGAAAGTCAGAAGCTTTGGTTGGTCCTTGAACCTCTCATCGTCCCTATAGTAATTGACGAGAGTTTGAAACCTCGCATATCCGCCAACAGGCTCTCTTGACCCTGCTTCAACGTGATAAACATCATTGTAGTGTAAGAAACGTAGGTCTGGCGGGGCATTCGGCGCGCCACCTTCTGGCTCGCATATGAGCAGCTCTTCCGCTGATGGGTGGTCTGTGGGCGCCATGATGATTTCCGAATCTATATCACACTTGTACCAACTTGAGAGATAGTTGTCGTTAGAATATGGTGCTCAAGGCGCTCGTGTCGCGTGTTCGAGCGGTGAGTATGCTGCGCATCATCAATCGTAGTTAGCGTTTCAGGGTCCAGATGTATCTGGCCAATGACGATGACGCCCACTCTAAGCCGAAAGGGATCTGCAAGGGGCATTTCTGAGGCTGACGGCTGCTGACGGCTATCGTACCGCTGCCGCGTGGCATGTATGAAGGCCGCGACAACCTTAAAGCTCGCAATAACCATGTGACACAGCATCACCAAAGCCTCAGCCTACCAAATGCCGACCTCTCGTCGGAAATAACCCAAAGGCAGTTAAATCGAGCTTAGTTCGCTCTAGAGTTTTTACAAGAAAACGTTCAAATGCTTGCGAATACTTCGCTGTTGATATACGTACTCTGTTAAGTAGAGCCAACGCAAGTCCATATACAGTAACATTGACAGAAAAGACAAAAGAATGTGCTTCTCGATGCCATATGCCAGACGATGCAAAACGCCAGTGTCCTCCAGAGCGGATATCACTAGACCTCGTAGTCATAAATGAGATGCGCCGCGTAACCAAGCCTAGTAGAAACGCCGAGAAACCTACACAAAGAATCCAAAGAAAGCCGCAGACCGCGGCTGGAACGCTGCTTACTAGAGAGCATTCCAGCCATCCCAGAGATTTAACCTAGCCTTGCCCTTACCCTTCGGGCCTTGCCTAGACCCAGCCGCCGCTGGACCCGTCCCAGAACGCCTTGAACTCCTTCCTAATTCCTATTGTCTACTACTGCCTGGACGGCCCCCCTTCGCCTTGGTCTTATTGTACGTCTCCTTGCAATCGTCACTGCAGAACCATTTCGTTCTGCCAGTGGGCGGTTTGTCAAGATTCACACAGCCAAGGTGGAACCACTCGCGGGGGCAGTCATCGTTGTCGCAGGCAATCATGTTCCCGTAGGAAACTTCGTTACAATAGCAGTATCGCGGCTCGTCGCCATCTTCCTCCGATTCGGCCTCTGGTTCGGCTTCCGCCTCGACCTCTTGGTATTCTTGTTCTTGTGCGACGGAGCTGGCAGCGGAAGATGGAGGGTTCGATTTTACGTTCGGCGTGGGCTTCAGGGCGGGAGAAGCAGTGGCGGTAGTCGATTGCGTGTTCTTCTTGTTGCCTCGTTTTGATCCGGCGCCTGTCGTGCTGTTGTTCTCTGACGACGTGGTGGAGTTTGAATTTCCATTGTTCACGTTGCGGCTGCTGCGACTTCGCGCCATGGGTGTCTCCACAAATGCCCCGACAACAGGTGTCGTATTCTTGGAGTTCCGACCGGATCTCACGGCGGCAGATATCGGTGCGGGAGCGTCAATGTCCATGCTCTCTGGCTCCGGCTGTCCCAAGTCTTCTACCTTCATGTTGGCTGTATCAAAGGGCGGTGGGATCTCTGTACTCTCCTTTGGAGTGGACGCGCCCTTTGCCGAAGCATTGTCTCGCACAACGCCAGCAGCCTGTTCCAGCTCTGTGATGGCATTGCTGCTAGCGGCTTGTTGCGCAGAGTGTGAGGATGACGGGCGGCCTGCAACTGTAGCCTCTTGATCCTTGATTGACGCCACCGAGTTGGCTGTGGAGTTCTTCCGTGCACGGGCGGACAGTGTTCTTTCCGATGCGCCGGCAATTGCTTTGTTGACGGGGAAGTTGGCAGCAAGGGGTGACGAAGCCATAGGGGGCGAGTACGGGGGAAGCGGGTTCTTGCGTTGCGCAGCCACGGGTGCGGCACGAGGTTTGCGTTTTGCTGCGCCGTTCTCTGGACCTGGCGTTCCCCGTGGGCTCGAACCACCCCGTACGCCGTTGCTAGTTGCTTTCAGAGCACTGCTCAGTGATCGCTCCATGGGCGGAGCTGCCGGTACCGCCGCCGCAGCAGCAGCAGCGAGGGCCTTTTCAGTCTTCTTCCGCTTGCCATGAGGACCTGTGCCGTTGCTTGAAATGCCCAGCCCAAGGCTTCTGTTGTCTGGCGCTGCCGTCTCTGCAGGCATGGCCTTCTTCTTCTGCGGTCTCTTGGCTGGTCTGTCGTCGAAGTCGGAGTCAACCTGGTGGTGTCGACTGCGCTTGTTCGCCTGCATGGCCTCACGTCTGGCCTCGCTCTTGGCCGCAATTGAATCGACGTCATGGACATGTTGAGCGGCCGCGGCCAGGTTATTCGCCGCAGCCACCTCGCGCCTCTGCCGCTCGTGGGATGGTCCGCCCTTTTTCTTCTCCTCTTTGTCCGCATATGCCCAGTGTGTAAGGCTGCCGTATCGCGCTTCGTCGCTGATCTCGCCGTCGAGCTGAGCGAAGGAGTGGTGCATGCGCGTGAGGCCCTTGTCTTTGGTGGCTTTGGCGCCCTGGAGCACTACGAGCTTTTCGTCGAGTATGGGCAGCGTGTTCGCGATAATCATGCGGAGGCGATAGAAGAGCTGGCGCTTGGTCATGGCCGAACGTTCTTCGGGGGACATATTGTCGGGATTGAGCTGGCAATTGTGAGTTTCTGATACTGCTATGCGCTTCCTGGAGCTTACGTTGGCGTTGGCCTCAGACGCTACTGAGGCCTGTTCTATAGCAGCCAGCTGGGCCTTTGTAGTGACGGGCTGCCGGGCGATGTCGTCGAGCAGCTCCTTGAGCATCTGCTCCGGGTCATGGAGTTTGGCCTCGACTTCCTTGAACATGGAAAAATGCTTAATTATCTCCTTTGGAAACGCATCGACGGCGCCGCTAAAGTGGGTGAGGGCGGGCAGGAAGCCGGGCGCGCTGCTGGAAGCTTCGGGCGTCTGCTCCATCCCGCTCGCGTTGAGGCGGCCGGCAAAGGTGCGCGCATAGTAGTTGGTAGGTCGGACCGTAGCCCGCCCCTGCCTCGTAGAGGTTCTTGTGCCTGTGGTCGGGGGCATGGTGGCTGAGAGGGCGCTCTGTGGGTAGCAAGGCGAGGAAAGTGGCCGCGAACGCGCTCAGCCCAGGATCGAGTGGTTAGAAAGAAGTTGCGTGGTAGGAATGACGTGTGAGCGCATCTCAAGCGATAAACAGGGGTTTGCTGGCGCTTCCAGCGATTTGCCTTTTGGGTTTGGTGACGATGCGCAGAACAGGAGCTCCTCACTGCCGCAAGACGCTACAAGCGCGAAAGACGCTAAACACTGTTGACGGAATGCGCACGTGTTTTCGTTTTCCGGTTATCGGCGGTAGCTTGCCCGATAGTGACTAAGCCGCCGCCAAGCCTCACTCCTCCATCATCCTCGTCCACTTTATCCGTCCCCTTGCCCAACTCCCACGCTTGTGTTGGACGCTTACGACTACCTCTCTTTCATTGTCACTCTGCTCTACGCGCCCGTCGTGTTGGATGTACAGGGTTCTTGTATATACATAATATGGTCGGCTAACTCCCAACTGGAAAGCCCTCTGGTGAACCTCCATCCCATGTCGTTCCAGATTGCAGAACTCACTCTATGATTCACTACGTGTAGACTCGATGCTTTGCATCTGATTCCACTTCCTGGAGTTCAGAGGAAACCCGGCGAGTGAAATTGCAGGCATCCAGCCCCACGAACACCTTTGGCCACGAGCTACAACTCGTGCCGCATTCCCTCAAAAGTACGAGTCTCAGAAAGATGGAGAAACTAAAACCTTTGAGATTATAATTATGGGAGTATAAGCCAATCGTAGACCATGCCATAGCCGCTCGGAATGCGCCTATAGGTCCCTGCTAGTTCTTTGTGGCGTAGTAGACTGCTTCGGTCCGAGCATAGTAGTGGAGAGATTGCCGTTTCGAGCCTCATACTTGTACGGTATGCCGACATATATATCAAAGCGGATTACTCTGGATTGGTTGACTCGTGAGGACATTTGCTCTCCAGTTCACCAGACAAGCGCCGCGCAGCTTCCTGCGACGTATCGTACTTGTCGATACCTAAACAGTAAGTACACTTACGCAAAACCAACGTCTTAGGGTACGGCGTGGAAGCTATTCTGTGTCTACCCTTTCAGAAGGAGCTCCATTCACAGGGGACAGGAATGCGAACTGTTGGTACGTACCCGAGCCGTCGACACTCAATTGCTGGACGTACACCATCGCGGCTACGTCGCTTGACAATCAGTACGGGGGGCTATGCGTTCACATGAATCATGTCGTTTGAGTCAATTGTACTTGCTTTCCTGTGTCGCGTCTCGATGCTTGGTTTCTAGCTTTCAGTTTGTATTTGCATGACTTCATTCACTCTATTTCATTCCATTACTTCCCTTACCTCAGCTGCCCCTACTTCAAAATACTCAAACAATTTTCTCTTGCCAGTATCTGGCCCCCGTCCATACCATGAGGGCATTCCGCGGGCCTTTTCTGGGCTCACCCAGCTCCCTCTATGCCACAACTCAAGGCCAACTCGTCCCTTAGGCTGTCTTTTACAGCGATTGTTTCATCAGCTACCCATCCATTCCGTCGTTAATATACAAGTGTTGGCCTACGTGGGCCTTCACGCAGGGAATGTAACACGCGGCTCGAGGGTGGCATTGGTCAAGTATGAGCAAACGGGTCTCTTGGCAGGGCATCTGGTCGACTATCGTGAGCTCACGAGTTCGCCATTGGCTCGAGCTGCCAGGCAGATGGTCGTTCGGTGGATTTCTAGTGCTCTCGGGCCGCAGTGCGTCGCATTGTGCGACGGTAATGTGAATCAAGGACGATGGCCCATTCGTGATCCAAGGTGACGGGAAGATCCATCAGGTGGTAGCGATCAAACAGCGGAGAATGTGTCATTCCAGAGTCACCTTCACTTTTCGTCGGCCTATCGCACTTGGACCGCCGCCGCACTGTGTATAAGATCTTTCGCTCACCTCTCTCGAGACTCTCTTCTCCATAACCGTACTATTGTGAGATTCAGTGCAGTCAACTCCATTCCAACTGGTGTTCTTCTCTACTTGATAACACATTTCCCCCCGGACTCGCTCAACATGTCCACCGACCCCAAGACCAATATCGACGATGTCTCAGGCGCTTCCCTTACGACTGAGGTCACTCAAGCCGACAAGATCCGCAATACGATGGCGTTAGACTTCGTCACTGGTCCTATCCATGCTCCTGATGGCACTTCCAAGCTCGTACCTGCGCCGCCTTCTACACCACCTGCACATTCAACAGAAGAAGAGAGTTCGTCGCCCATCGTGGACACTCCCGACACCGTCATGACCGCACCTGTAAGTACTAATGACTCTGTTTCTTCTCATTCTTTCACACCATGACAAGTCACCACGTCACTATTGAAGCAGTAAGTTGACCGATGTTCGTTTGATAGAGGGAAGAGCCTGAAGCTTCTGGTGACGAAAACCTGGATGACGGCGAGGATGTACCCGACGATCAGCGCGAGTTCATCTGTATGAATGACGAGCACACGCGCTGCATGACCGGCCAGTACACCAAGGACCTGTTAGTAATCTATCTTTACGAACTGTATGAGATATCCACTGACTGATATCTAGGTCGCGCAAGGTCATCTCCGATCACTTCGGCCGCAACAAAGCATGCACCCGCGATGTCACCGACTGGCCCCTCTTCTGTCGCAAGCACTACCAGCGCGCGACCTACAACAAAAAGAAGTGGCAGATCCGCAAGGTTCAGCTCATCCTCCGCCAGTTCGATATGATTGAGAAGGAGTTTCCGGGCACCACCTACGACATCGCGTTCAAGAAGTCCGAGGAAGCCCGCCTCAACTCATACTCCCGTCAAGTCGCTGCATCCAGGGGACCCTTGGCTGCGGCGAAGAGCGTCCAGCCCAAGGAAGGCAAGCACTTCGAGGCGCCCATCGACGTCCTCCGTGAGCTGGACCAGTATGTCGGTGCTGACAAGAGCCATGATCAGGTCCAGAAGATTGTCGATATCATCCTCCAGATGCTTGAGGATAAGGAGACCGACCAGGTTCCTTCGATCGAGTTTCTTCCCAAGCTCCCTGGCAAGACTGCTTCTCCCAAGAAGGCCCTGGCTAAGGCTCGCGCACCGAAGTCTCCGGCGAAATCTCCCAAGACCCCTTCTCGCACCTCCAGCAAGGGTGCGGTCAAGAAGCCTCTGCAGAAGGCTTAGATAGGTCTTGTCGACACGGTAGCCAGCACTGTAACCAACGCTCTCGCGCATCCCCATCCAGAGGACTTATCGCAGTCTGCAAAGTCAACACATCTGGCATCATAACCCTTCACTATTTTGCATTCATGGTCACGACGCGTCTAAATTTCCTAACATTTGAATACTGTATCATTCGAATGTCGGAAACTTTGGGCGCTATTTATCAGTTTTCCTGCGTTCACGACATTTTGACAACGACGAAACCTAATGACACCATCACGACTGACTTCTTCCTCCCCGCTACACGCTGTCGTCTCACGTATCAGCGTTCCAACGCAAGAGCAAGACTGTTCGTATGGATGTTGAACTCGTGTATGAAGCCCCAAGGCAACCGAATTCCGGCTTGTTTCTTCGATACCCCTCATCTTTTACGATGGGTTTGCATTACAGGTAGATTTTGGGGGCTTTTTGAGCAGATCTTTTCACAGTTATGTGAAGAATCAACTCGGTATTTAGTAATGAAACGATAAATCTGATAGACCTCGTCTTCCACCTTCTCACCATCTCTGTCGCTCTTCACTCCTAACATATCAGTTCTACAGACGTCGTCGACGTCGCATATGCAAGCATAACGTACCTGCATATGCATCTGCGGCACGAAGTGCGCTCGCGGCGCGAAGCGCCCGTGGGACACTCATGCACCCGTTCCACCAATATGACATGCCTGTCCGGCAGATACGTTGTGGAGACTTGTTGGCCGCTGGACCTGCATGGCGTGGGTATGTGGCCAGTTCTTGGGGGCCATTTCCTAGCTGTGGCTTGCGGCGTCTGTGCCGTGCCATTTGTGAGGCGAGAGGCGAGAGGCGAGAGGCGTTGATCGGTGAGGGAAGCGCTGCAGGTGAGAGGACGCAGGATACTAATCGGGCCGAGGGTGTGGCACAGGTTCATAGATGACAGGTTCATAGATGACGGGGATGGGTTAGAGGGTGGCGATCTGGAGGACTATGGATAATTCAGTTAGAGGGGTCGTTGGGGTGATTGGTGTGTAGACATGTGCTCCGACAGGTGTCGAGATATCTCACTGCTTCTCACTTTGGCCGTTAAGGTGAAGGACGTCAGTGACACCAAGACCATCGCGCTAGCTTTACATGACTGCAGGTTTCCGTACAAAGGTGCTGGTCATCACTTCCTGCTACACACCTACCTCTACTGTAACTCGTTCGAAGTTCAACGATGGTTCGTTTAACCGTCTACCCCAAACGCTCCAAGATGAGTAACAAAAACATTGAGCCTCATGGGAGCTGGGACGGAGACTTCACCTGGCATGGCTACTTCCTGCGAACGCACATCAAGACAGTCACTCCAGAGTATAACATGAACGATCCTAGCACATGGCCATTGATACGCAAAGTCATTGCAACCGGAAACCAAGCCGACCACAGCAAGACCACAGTTCCTCCGGAGTATCTGGTATATGATCAGAACCTCGTTAGAGGTTTCAGACGTCTTCAAAACACACAAGGTAAATCCGTTGAAACGAGCCAATATATGAGGAACCTCTTCCTTCACTATCCATTCAATTACGATCGTCACGGCAAACTGCGAGAGCATCTACATATAACACCTAATGAACTCGAAGAATGGAAGAAACAGATGAGCTGTGCAGTACCGACCAGGAAACAAGAGGCAGTCACTAAGAATGCGACTACCAACGACCACACCAACGACACGGCTACCAAGGATGTTTCTCCGGAAGCAGGATTCAATGAGATCATGAAGATGCTTGGTTCAGAGGCAGACACAGACATGATTCCTTACACTAGTGTGGTGGAGCTGGAAGAAGAACTCGAGAAGACCAGGAAACAAGTTTCAGAAGCCAAGAAAACAGCTGAACTTGCAGAGGAGGCGAAAGCTACGTTGGACATGGCTTATAAAGCTGCCTGCAAAAGTTACACCATAAGAGTCAATGGCAGAATGCGTGAGCTCAGAGAATATTGGACCAAGCTCCTCTCTCAAGAACGGACAAACCACGGTAACGCAAAGGAATTGTTGGTGCTTATGAAAGAAGCGATGGATCAAGAGAAAACGAGGGCCGATGCTGCAGAGACAGTTGTTCAGGCGCTGAAAGTAGATCTCGCCGGCCATAGCAACGACTTGGAGAAGAGTAAGAAAGAGGTTGAGGAACTCAAGGCCGAGGTCAAACAGAGTAGCAAGGACATCTCGGCGGCAAAGCAGAAGGCAGCGGTGGCGGAGCAGCAGATCCTCAAGATCCTAGAGGAAATGAAAAAGAAGAAACAGAGCGCAGGTTCACAAAAGAGGAAATCGAGTGAGGATGTGTCGGAAGCACAACGAAAGAGGTTGAAGACTGAGGTCTGAGAGCCCTGGTGGCAACATGCGGGACTTATATGCGTCTGTGGCACTGGCATATACTATCCCAATTGCAAAAGGAAACTCCGGAGATAAAACGGCCATATCAAAGCCGCAAGGCCACCAAACCTTGGAAGACATGGCGGTACCAAAAAAGGTTAGCTCACAGACGTCATGTTTGGAGTGGTTCTCGTCATTCTACCCCATTCACAGGGATTGCTATTCATGCATTCATACTTACATTCTATCTGCTACTCTCAGTTTTTGGCGTCCCTGAACATGCACCTCCGGGTTCAAGTCCTGTTTACGACCTCTCTTATATCTTTACGAGACGTCTGGTAAAAATACATCACTTGTTGGAGACTTGATGCTTTTTGGATTTCAGACACCCCACAACGTAGGTAGTATAATGCAAAAGATCACCTCCTATCCCCATCCATAGAAAGTGTCTCTTCGTTCTCCCACAGCGACCAATACTAGGGACCAACTCCAGCCAAGAAGCTTTCTGGTAAAAACTGAGTCATGTTCGTCTTGGGCATCTAGTCTCGTTGCCAATAGCTATGCGCTATCGTGGAAATGCCGACCTTGGCTGCCCGGATCCTTCCATGGCACCAATCTCAACACAGTAAGAATGGCGAGCGGGTGATCTTCAGACGATGATGGACAGAAGCTAAATTACCGTAGCTTGCGGCTACAAAGTTCCGTGGCTCTACGCTAGAAGCAGGAAGCATGGTGCGATTCGCTGTATCTGTTCTGCCAAGGTTAAGCCCTCCGGGTTTCACAAACCCGTTGTTAGCGCGCGATCTAAACCTTGGAATGCATAAGTAAGGATGATCTCCCCACAGCCCGTTGTTCACTCCAACAAGCAAAGACCCTTAAACGTCTTTCGCGTCTGATTCTACATTCTACCTAGGTAGGAAATAAATTATTACGCTTTCCGTGAATGACTAGTAGAGGGGAACTACCACGTTTGCCGGCGACACGGTACCCATATATTTTTCGGTCTATAATCTTCTTAATGAAACGTCTACACTGAGACGATAACGAAAATCGGCATGACTTCCTGCTTCAGACCCTCCACTAGAACAGGTTTGCTCCTGAAAGTAGAGTAGATTGATGGACATCGTAACGGACATTCATATAACGTTGCGCAGGAACTTCATCTGGGAAGTGTCATAAGGTGTGTGCGGTCCGCCTCAAAAAAACCGAAAGTTTGGGTTGACAGCAGACATACCCATATGTGATTCACCATGCAGCGGCGAAGTAACGTAGATGCATATTTAGGAACATGATCACGAATTAGGCATTCGAGACGAGGCCAAATCTTACCACTGTCTCGGGCAGTTGCTGCCCGGACGATCAGTGTTTGTAAGGACATTGTCATCAGGCACTAGCCAGCCCTCTAACTTAGACCAAACATGGCATTACCCGCCTTGCCGTTACATATACAACTTATCCTTATCTCGCGTTCAAGACTAGTCCTTATGAGCTGGGGCATTCCTTCGCCTTCACTGACAAGTTGAACTCGTCCGGGAGACTGGGATCTTTCAATTTCTTTCAATCCATCCCCGTCTTCAAACATCCAAAATGTCGACTCAGCTCGAGAACCTGAAGAGTAACCCAGCTGAAGACAATGGGCCGTTGATGAGCATTGCGACATGGTGCCTTGTTGGGGTTTCTGGGGCCTTTCTGATTGTGAGGCTTATTATCCAGAAAAGCCAAAGAAGATTATGGATTGATGACCTTTTGCTTGGGCTCAGCTGGGTAAGCAAAGATTAACCGACATACACACGTGAGACTCACGGATTGCAGACCTTGCTCCTTGTTCAGGTTATTCTGAATCAACTCGCCATCAACCTAGGTTACGGAAAGCATGCGCTCGACGGTAGGACATTGCCATAGAAGCCTTATGGAGTCAACAGTCTCTAATTCTTCGCGTAGTCAACCTGTCAAATTTCAATACCATGATATATTATGGTGCTTCCGAGCTCACGGTATCCATTATCGCAATTACGCTGAGCAAGATTTCCTTTGGAGTCACCTTGCTTCGATTGACCAGCGGTTGGACTAGATATTACGTATGCTTTGCTATCACAACCCTGGCGGTGTTTGCGATCCCGGCCGCTACCGTCCCCTGGACACAATGCAAGCCCATTGCTAAGACCTTTCTCGATATCCTTCCAGGCACATGTGTTGATAAGAGGCCTTCTGTAAGATATGGGAACTTCCAAGCCAGTGAGTAGGAAGTTTGTTGCACATGCTCCAGGAGTATTGAGCTGATTTGATCCTTAGTATGGTCCGCACTGATGGATGTGTCTCTCGCCTTGCTACCCTGGAAAATTCTGTGGAACGTTCAGATGCGTACCGCAGAAAAGATAGGAGTTGGTCTGGCTATGAGCTTGGGTGTCTTGTAGGTTTCCCTTTTGCTTGGTTTTAGATTTGTACTGACACGACTGAAGTGCGGGAGCCGTGGCTATTGTCAGAGCCCACTATATTGAGAAATTGGCCGTGCTGGATACATCTTGTAAGGCTGTCCAAGGTCTCGTCATAATCATTGTTGACAGAAGCAGACGACTCGTACACTTCCATCATCTGGGCGTCAGCAGAAGCAGCTATGGCGATCGTAGCCACGTCGATACCCGTACTCCGCGTCGTTCTCAAGGGAGTGGTCAACACAGCCATCGAGGGCTACAACACGTCCGGCCGAAGCAAATCAAGAACAAATCCGAGCCAGGCATTGAGCTCAGGGGGGTGGAAGCAGTCAAGCAAGAGGCCGGCCGAGCTATCAGTGACCTTGTGCGGGGACGAATCACTGATGAAAAGCCACGGCAAAGGTTACTTAGAGCTGGACGATCTAATTGTTGATGAGGATACTGGCCGGGTCTCAGCCGCAACTCCAGTGTCTATATCAGAAGCGAAAGAGCAGAAAGTGCCGCAATGGCCTCTGTGAGACGAGTAGAGCGCGTCTCATGAGAAGAGCAAACCTTAAGCACCTAGGTAGGAAAGCAATGTAACATTCTTGAACGGGAAATCGTTCAGTACGCAATGCGGAGGAAGATGACGCCATTGTTGTGTGAATCGCAACTTGGGAAGCTGCCCGGGCGGAATGTGGAAGCCATATCAATTCGTCATGTGGCCATTACTCAAAGCAGAAGTGACCTGCTGATCCTCCTAGGTCTGGCATATCTGCGAATATGTCCGATGCGAGTCATTCTATCAAAGACAGAGAGGGCGAGGAAGTGGCAGTTTATTTAGATGTGATTCAGGGATTCGGCCATGTGCGTCGATCTGCGGCACGAGTCGCTAGTGTCGGGAATGGCTTGAACCTGGCTCGACATCATGGATAACTTCCATCCATTAGTGCATTGCTTTTATCCGTAGTATTTCAGGCGCACAGTGAAACCGCGTTCGATTCTCCAATCATAAGAGGGCTGATGATGCGTCGATCGTGGAGATTTCCATGTTAGCCTTAACCTCCTGAGCAAACAAGACCCTTAACCTCGCTCCACCTGCAGTAGCCACGACGCTAGTCAACCAGAGTTGTACGTCTACGCGCGCGAAGCCAAGTTCGTTTGCCATCAGGGAAGTACATATAATCCCACACGAAACTCAGTGCTTAGGCTTGGCGATCCCAACGTCAAATCTCCCTTACTGTCACTCCTTTATCGGTATTGGATTTTCGCAATCATGAAGGCATCATTGCTTTGCAGCGCAACGCTTTTCTCTTTGGCGACCTTTGCCTTCCCGGCCAACTTGCTCAGCAATGACATTAGCGATGACACGCTCGCGGACATCGCTGTTTTGGCGGCAAAGATAAAACGAGCTGCCGAGGAGAGGCCTGATGCCAGCAATGTAAAACGTGGATTCAATGCTGATGCTCAGCGCATCAGCACCTCCGGTGACCACCAATATGTACGCCATCTTTTACGAGAGAGATCGTCTTCCAAATGCTGACCAGACCGTTCGCAGATTGCACCAGGCCCAAATGACCTCCGTGGACCTTGTCCTGGTCTAAACGCCATGGCGAACCATGGCTACATCTCTCGCTCCGGTGTGAGTTCAATCGTGGAATTGACTACAGCGTCTAACGAAGGTACGACATGATTCAATATGCTACGTGCCCTTATCTGACACCATACCAGTCTTCGGCATGGGTCTCGATCTATCCGGATTCTTGTCAGTTTACGCTGCTGTCATGGATGGAGATGTTGCGTCGGTCTCGATTGGTGGCGCGCCGAAGAGTGGATTGTTAGGAGGAGTTACCTCCTCAATTGGTCTTCTTGGAAAGCCGCAAGGTCTGACTGGATCCCACAACCGTTTCGAGTGCGATGCATCACCCACGCGATCCGACGAGTACGTTACTGGAGACCCAGCGTCAGTCAACCTGTCCCAGTTCGAGGAGCTCGTGGCCATGCCTCTCGGCCCGAACGGTATCGATCTCTCAGTCATATTTCCATTCCGAGTAGAGCGCACCAAACAATCGATCGCTACTAACGGACACTTTTTCGCTGGCCCTCTCACACATCTTGCTGTCAACTCTGCAGCCTTCTACTTCACATACCGCTTCTTTGCCAACCACAGTGCTGAGTACCCAGAGGGCTATCTAGGTAAGTTATGACTGTACGAGATGCATGCGAGACACACACTGACCATGTATTTCCACATCTACAGATGTCAATACACTCAAATCATTCGAGGGCATTACCGGAGAACAGGGCAATTACAAGTGGGCTTCAGGACAAGAGAGAATTCCAGAGAACTGGTATCGCCGCGCCATTGGTGACGACTATGGAATCTTAGGCCTCGACCTTGACGCTGTTGATGCAATCACGAAATATCCTGAACTGGTCCGAGTCGGTGGCAACACGGGACAGCCGAATACTTTTGTGGGTGTTGATGTCGACGACTTGACAGGCAACGTCTTCAACGCGCAGACACTGCTCGAGGGAAACAATGCTATGTGTCTTGCATTCACCGCTGCTCAAGTAGCTTCTCCAGACATTCTGAGGGGCCTGCTTGGAAATATTGTAAAGGCTGTTCAACACTTGACAGACGCTTTGAACCCGATACTCCAGACACTTGGATGTCCTGAGCTCGTAAAATACGATGCGACGCTATTTGACAAATTTCCTGGAGCTGGAAGTGGTCTCTAGTTGTGCCATATTAGGAGCTCGGTGCAGGCAAACGATAGTTAGCGTTCAGTTTTTGCGAAACTACTTCTTAGACTAAACACAATCACACTTACTCTGTGACACGAACAAAGAGAGTCTCTTTGTTCGCTTTCGTACCAAAACCTCTAGTACGTGCACGACTCATCAACCGCTCATGTATGCCTCTCAAAATGCCTTCATCCGCTCTTAATTACACCCCACACAGAAGCTATTCTCAAGGATCCACAACAGCCTGTGGTGAAGACGGGTTGGGGTGAAGGTGAGAGGGGAGCGTTCGCGGACTCGCGGTGAGCCTTCTAGACACGATGCAATGAGTAACGGCATGAGAGTGTCTAGAGAGGCTCACCTGGTAACAGTCCATCTCTTGACTCTTCACTTCCCAGCAGCAGCAGCAGCAACAGTGGCGGCGGCGGCAACCCACTGTCTACTACCCTTTGGTATCCTTCAAAGTATAAAAAACACACCGATCAGCGCACCAGAAGTGGCTGATAAGACCAGAACATAGGATGACAGCTCTACCCCGCTACGATGGAACGTTCAGTTTCACCTCTTCAAGACTATATGAGAACATCAAGCGCGTCTTCCCTACCTACAACAATAAAGATCCGAAGACTTGGCCATATGTTAGTCTATCAACGATAGAGAAACATCGTCCCTACCAGGGTTATCCAGATCTGCCGACAGGCGTAGCCTACCAACGAGAGGCGATGACGCGATATGAAGACTTGTACTCCCCGGAAGATCGAACCATCGCCGCCTCAGCGAATGGCTCTTTCCATCAGCGTTTTCCATTCAACTACGACAAGTTCGACGAGCCGAAAGAGCAAGTCGGGATGTCTGGAGCGGAGTATCGGGCATACATGGGGACTACTCTGGCTGCACCGTCTACACCACGCATCATGCGCGAAGAATGGGAGGATGACATCCCAGACAGCGCAATAGATTGTGACACTCCTTCAGATCATCGTGAACAACCGGAGAGCGCATCTCCAACACTAGGCATCAAAGCTCTGAACCGTGTTTTCTGCGCAAAGAAGAAGTGTGTAGACATCAAACGAGAGGCTGACCGGCTTCGTGGAGAGCTCTTCGACAAAGAGTCTCAGCTTGTGAGCTCGCAAGCAGATCTCAAAGAGTACGAAACAACCGAAGGCTTGCGCAGGAGGGCTATGTACGACGCCCAGTTTGAGCTGGAGAAAGAGAAGCAACGCGCTGATGATGCCGAGAAGAAATGCATGCTTCGCATGGAAGAAAACCTCAGGTTGCTCCGTCACCTGAATGAGTTGGAGACGAAGGTGAAGGAAATGGAGGAGTTGGACGCGTATTGTGTCCAGTTGGAAGCAGAAATCGAGGCGTTGAATGGCGAGCGAGCGACTGAAGAGCGAGGCCGTGAGCAGCTTTCGGAACCTCAGATGGAGGAAGAAAGCTTCAACATGCTACGTAAGAGGATGCGATCGAAAAGTACAAAGTGAGGGTATACGTTGGAAGGGTTGCATATCGTTGACGCGGTCGCGAGAACGCGATGTACGACTGCCGCGGAGCGCCGCAGACGCGATTTCGGCAGCGCTAGCTTATTTCGGTAGCGAACACTTTCCCCGCCCTTTGCGTCATTCTCGTGAACTGTCACTTCTAGCTATAAATTCCGCTGCGTCACTCAATTAGGCAGGACTTTTGCTCTGGTGTTGCGCTGGACCGAATCGCTGACTCAGACTTGTCATACCACGCCCTATAGCTACAACCAGATGAGTACGGTTTGACGAAGGAAGAAAAGCTCGTAGTTTACATCCCATAAGATCTCACAAAGCACAGCTGTTATTGATCAACTCATCTGAAGGCTTGCGAGGCTTCTCGTCTTTGGGCATTCAACGGTACCACAAATATGGCACTCGCAGCCACTACGCAGATTGCGGTTATACTGTCTATATTCATTTTACCAATTCTCACATATCTTTACTTCAACAACGTTGAGGAAGTAAAGAGTACCGCTGGCCCTCTGCCACCTGCGACTGAAATCACAGGCCTCTTCATACACCCGATCAAATCATGCCATGGTTTGTCTGTGAAGTCAGCAAAGCTCTTGCCAACCGGCCTCGACCTCGGTGCGCTTTCCTAATCAGCTTCCAAAGGACGTTTTTATGCTGACAGAGCCAGATCGACAGTGGATGTGGGTGAGCTACCCGAATTATGAGTTCCTAACGATCCGTCAAAACTCCAAGATGACACTCATCCGGCCGACATACGACGAGAAGACTGATACCCTTACCGTCACTGCACCAGCACCGGATTCCATTGATGAGAAGCTGGAGTTCTCTATCCCCGCTCACCCGTCGAAGGAATGGCTCGATCAGAATACCGAGGAGCACTCGGCAAAGATATGGAGTACTACGACAGGAACTCGCGTGTACTCTACTGAAATGACTGGCCCATTCAACAAATTCTTCGACAAGGAGGTGCGACTGGTCTACAAGCCCCCGGTTTCCGACGACCCCAGGCCTCTCGTATCTAATGGTGCACCAAAGGTCTTAGGCAGAGACGCATCGACTTGTTTCCCGGACCTGATGCCCGTGCTAGTTGGTAATCAAAGCAGTATTGACGAACTCAACACACGCCTCAAGGCCGCAGAGGACCTCACCATCGATGTTCGCCGATTTAGACCTAACATCCTCGTCAAAGGTGATGTCAACGCTCCCTGGGACGAAGATCGCTGGAAGACTGTCAAGATCACGCCCAAGGCTGGTGAAAACCCCATTGTCCTGGACATCACCCAGCGATGCGCGCGCTGTCAGGTACCAAATGTACATCCTGATTCGGCAGAGAAGCACAAGACGCAACCTTGGGATGCGCTGATGAAGTACCGGAGGATCGACGAGGGAATTACATACAAGCCATGCTATGGTATGCTGGCTGTGCCGAAGACGGTCGGGGATCTCAGGGTCGGAATGAAGTTCGAGGTTACGGAGGTCACAGATAAGCATCGGTATATCGCTGGCTTCTGAAAAGACGAAGTAACGATCTTCCGTCGTAACGCAAGCCGGTGTGATATAGTTGTCGCACAATTCTCCACAAACGTTGTACATCAGTTCGGATCGCCCCTTTTGTCAGCCATAACGGATATTTGTAGAGGCTAGCTACAAGCCGCGCCCAACCCCCTTCGGAGAGTGTACATGCAACCAACTTGGAAGCACGTTTAGTCTACCACGATTTTTCAGGAAAATGTCGCAAAAATAGTTGGATCTTCACAGACTCCACATGCGAACGCTAGCAATAATGACGAAACGATTGATGATCTATCTAATCTGCAGCGCAAAGACAGCCGAAGCGGCTCCGCCTCTAATCCATATCAGGCTTAGCGACGCGTCACGATAGACTAGGATACACCCATCAAACCATCAATGGCTGGCTGTGTCTCCAGCTCTACTTCCTATTGAGGAATGTGATGTTACTACCAAGTCCACATTTACTATGGCTTCGTCGATTTCGAAATCTGCACTGTTCGCGCGCGCAACATGGCTACCCAATGTTTCGAAACAGAGCACCGCAACTTGGTGGAGACTACGCGCGTTCATGATCGGACCGTGACGTCTGACGACGACTGAGACCCCGGCGTTGCGATGCAGGGACACGGAAGGGGATACAGAGGAGAGGCAGATCGTGCATCGTACCTGACATACAGCGGTACGACGTATCACCGATGCCCGTTTTGAGCGAGGGAGGAACAGCCTGAGGCATTGCTCTTTCTGTTATCACACAACTCATCATGGCAGGCGATGCGATGCTGGCTATGCCAATGTCTCATACACAGTCGACCAAGGAGTTTGGAAATGCGGCGGTACAGTGGGCTTGCACGCGTCGAGGGAGGATGATGGTCTTGACGATCACGCTTCTCACCATTCTGCTGGGATTGACTGGTATGAGGCATCATGAGGTGCGTTTGGTTCATTCCGATGCCAGAGAGGGGGAGCGCTGAGCACATGCGAGACGTGCCCCGCTACAACTGACTGTCACTTTTCAGGTTCAGGCTAACTTTTCTCAGACCATATCTTCACAATACCAGAGCTTTTCCTCCTACTATCCATGGCGACCGTACCTTCCAACTCTGCCCGATATCGTGCACTCGCCCTTCAAGACCCCCTCGAATACGACGCTGCAAATCGAGAACGGTGAGCTCGACCACGTTCCACCAAAGCTCAAGAAAACGACTGCGAACTTCCACCTCCTCATGCCATCCGAGCGCGACACAGATGGCTTCTGCAAAACGACCCTGTCTGCTATGCTTCTCAACTACCCTCCGCCGACTGCAGTTCAGCTGTATGCCCCATATGACTCGGACATCAAATGGGAGAGGGGCATATTGAACAGCACACTTCACTACCTGAGTAATGAGAAGCTGGTGAAGGATCAAGATTTGATACTCATCGTGGACGGCCAGCAATCATGGTTCCAGCTGCCAAGCGATGTGATAGTCACCGAATACAAGAGGCTGTTGGCAGATGCGAACATGCGGCTGCTGAAGAAGTATGGCGTTGACAAGGATGGCTACCAGAAGTTCAACCAGACAATCGTATTTGGCGCAGAGAAGATGTGCGAAAGCGATGATATGGCCTGCAAGTACGTGCCGCAGTCGATATTACCGGACAACGCATACGGAACGGAGAACGGCCGTCGCATATCTGACACCCCAGCGAAGTTTATCCATTCAAAAATGGTCATGGGCCCGGCGAGCGACTTGAAGCTACTGTATCAGGCTGCACTAGAGAAGTTCATGGAGGCTAGAAGTCAATCGCAGACGGTTCAGTCTGTGTTCGCGACCCTGTTCGCTGAGCAACAGCTGAGAAGAGATGCCGAGGAAGTTGCTTCGAAGCATACCAGTGCCAAGGTCAAAGACTTCATAACTGGTAGAGCAAGCAAGTCGGAAGCCGAGCGAAGACTGGAGCGAGCGAATGCCGAGCTCTCGAATACTACACGACACGAGTTTTCCATCGGATTGGACTATACCCATGCGCTCTTCCAGCCTTTGGAGTACTGCGTCGAAGACGAACTCGTTCCTCTTTTGCACGACGACTCAACCGACTTGTCGCAGTACAGTCGCTTCGACTCGAACGGCCAGTATCTTTCCCTTCCAACTGCTCTCAACGAGACCAAGCCTCCATTCTGGCGCCCAGACTTTGTCGAACACAACCCATCTCCCAACGAGAAACCAGCATACATTGACAATCTAGAGTTTACCCTGGAACTCGATGGCCTGCCAAGCCGCAAACTGCCCTGGGAAGGCGTTCCTCTAATACAGAACACATACTCCGGTTCCGTACCCGCCATCATTCTGAGCAGTTCTTCGCCCTCTAGTGGCGAGCGTCCGCCAATCGCAAACGTCAACTGGGATCATTTGTGGTATGCAGGACATGAACGTGCAATGTTGAGAAACTATTTCCGCGCCCCCCAGTCTCCGAACGGATACCACAACCACCTCGTAGGCGGCGACCGCTACTGGGACAACCGTGGAGGGCGAGGTGGCATATGGACCGAAGCCGAGCAGATCTGGTACCCCTGGGGCGAAGTCGACGGCGTGTGTGGGACCTTGCCACAACTGAAACAAATTTTCCAGGACGGTAAGGGTGTGTGGTTGCATGAGATGGAGCAAGACAATGAGCAGGGCCGTCTCAACGAACAAGACGAATTTCTAAAACAGAAAGAGGAAGCAAGACTCAAGGACATTATGGAGTTGATGAAGTTGGAGAATGAGGAGAAGGAGAAGGAGGAGAAAGCCCAGAAAGAGAAGATTGACTTTGAGAGGCTGAAGGAGCTTCAGGGGACTCAAGTTGAAGGTGGGAAGCCAGTTGAGAGGAGGAGGAAAAGATGGGACATTGGGGAGGAGTGTGTGAGGTATTGTTAGTGGATTTTCTGTTATATACCAGGTCTTCATTTCTTTTGTTCGGGCGGTTTCCTCGCTGGATGCGATTTGGAAGCATCTTCAGGCGCATATTTGGCAGGGCTTTAGAGTATGGTAACGTTATCCTACTTACTCATATCTTTTTCTTTCATTTCCATCAATCACCGCATCAGATTCGACTAAAGACCGGTCTCCTCTTTCGCATTTTCGTTCCTCATGGATACAGTCAGAGATGCTCCAAGGTATGCGTTGTACAAGTCAGAGTATGTCTTGTGTCGACGGCGGGACGCGCCGTTGGGTCAACTGCTGTGCGTAGGGCCTGAACATGAGATGGGATATGCAAAAAGAATGTCAAAAACATACAACAGCGGGGATTCGCTAGTGGTCACCCACCTAACTACTAATCCGCCGGTACACTGCTTGTATATGGCTGAGCGGACGGGAAGCCTAATTTTCAGTGTCCTATGGTCGTATGTGAAGGGGATAGTGGTTGTTGGAATACATAAAGCCAGCAAAATCTGGAGTCGTCCATAGGTCCTTGGTTGGCTGGCGGCGAACTGTTACATCAGACAAACAACTACAAGAGTGACGCTCAAGCAGGTGATTGAGAGTATTCTGAAGAGTTGTTGAGGTAAATGGGTAGAGCGTGTAGCGCACTCTAGAGGTCCTCATGGTAGACTCAGCCAAGGTGAATTAGAGAAGCCGCTCGTGGAAGTGATGTGTGCTCCTCTCCAACAAGCCTTCCTTTATACTGTCGTCCTCGGTCTTGCGCCCTAACAGGAGCGCATTCGCGTGTTAATCTCTGACATCAATGGAGGGTCTGAGATCTGAGGGCATGGCAGGGCAATCCACTTATTGCAACCATGGGACGGCATGAGCATATGTCACACTCCCAAACTCCGTCCTTTACGTGTAATCTAAAAATATTCAGCCACCACGACCTTATTCTCATCCTGTCATCCTAAAATCTTATCAGCAGAGCAGAATATACCAACCGTGGGAACACACTTCTATTGCGATACAATACATTGTGATTCAACAGCGTTGTGCCTGCATCTTATCACCAGCACATCGACCAAATCAATAAAATATACCAACCGTGCGAATTACCACGACACCACCACCCACAATGTCAACCATCATCATCAAAGCCAACCAGCCTGTAATCATCCTTCCTAACACCCACTACCTTGTTACCTCAGAGTTCTCCATCTCTCCCCTCCACGCAAAAGCTCTCTCCAACATCTACTCCTCCATCACCACCGACCTCTTTACCCCCCGCGACCCCGAATGGACAACAAGTCCCCTATCGCCGTCAATCTGCGCAGAACGCGGTAAGCGGCACTACCGCTGCACAAACGTCCCACGCTATCGAAGCTCAAGGGAAGTCAATATGGGCGCGCATTACACCACCGATCCCAGAGGCCTACTTCCAGGCGAGCGACTGCAGAGCAGTACGCAGGAAGAAATGTGGATACACAAAAGTTCCAGTTTATATCCTCGGTCTGGTGATTTGTTACTCGAAGGTAGAACTAAACACGCCAGAGCCGCTTCACCCTCCTTCTCCTCACGATCCGTCCAAAAGGAACCGATCCTAAAAGGCGGTCTCGTACAAGAGATTAGCCTGATCTTCTACGATACCAAAGTGATGAAAGATGACTTCCCAGCGCCTTTTTGCGACCTACCGGATCACAGGTTTGTGCAGTGGGTTGTGAGGAATATGGAGTTGTTGGGTGTGGGGGCTTGGGAGGCGGAGTGTGAGGCGATGGATGTATTGTGGAGGACCCAGGAGAAGAGGACAAAGAAGATGCTCAGGAAGGAAATGGAGAAGAAAAAGAATGTAGAGAACGATACTGTAGAAGAAGATGGGCAGAGGGCTAGTGTCATAGAGAATGAGTACAAGGACACACATGAGATTGTGGAGATGAGGTTGAGGTTGAATGCGATTCAGATGAGGAGAATAGAGAAGCGAAAGAGGAAGATGAATGTGTTTTGGGTGTGGAGAAGCGTAAAGAAATACTATGAGGAAGTAAGGTCAGTGGAGGAACTCAATCTGCATACCACGGAATGTCGTGTCAAGAGATGGCATCTGGCGCGGATCAAGAGGTGCTTTCGTCGGAAGTAACTACGCTATCATAGTCCAACATCAGCTTAACCAACATGCTCCTACATGACCTTGGGCTGACTCTCCGCCAACTTAATCTTCCCCGCCTCATCGTAAACAATCTCCCTAATCTTCACACATCGAAGATGGTTGACCCCCTTACTCAGACTCGAATCATGGTAGAACAAATACCACTTGCCCTTGAACTCCGCGATACTATGATGCGTCGTCCATCCAATGACGGGCTCTAGGATCCTGCCTCCGTAGGTAAACGGGCCCAACGGACTATCACCCGTCGCATAACACAAGAAATGCGTATCACCAGTAGAATACGAAAAGTAGTATTTCCCATTATACTTGTGCATCCACGCGGCTTCGAAGAACCGTCTGTCGTGGTCGGCAGCTTGAATGGGGTTTCCAGATTCATCCAGAATAACGACGTCTTGGACGTCGGTGGTGAAGGAAGTCATGTCGTCTGACAGCTTGGCTACTTTTGCGCAGAGGGCATTGCCAGATTGCGCTTCCATGGTTTCGTAGTCCTCGCGGATGAATTTCCCAGTCTTCCAGCATTGTAATTGGCCGCCCCAGATGCCGCCAAAGTACAGGTACGCAGAGCCGTCTTCGTCGACGAAAGACGCGGGGTCGATGCTGAAGCTGCCTTTTATGGGCTCGGCTTCTGGCTTGAATGGTCCTTCGGGTTTGTCGCCGGTGGCCACACCAACGCGGAAGATACCCTCCTTGTCGCGGGCCGGGAAGAAGAGGTAGTATTTCCCGTTCTTGCTGGCGGCATCAGGGGCCCAGAGTTGTTTTTGGACCCAGGGTATGTCATCTTGCTTCAGGGCTACGCCGTGATCTGTGACTGGGCCACCTACTTCATCCATGCTGAAGACGTGGTAATCGTTCATGTCATATTGGTCGCCGTTGTCGTTATCCTTGATGTCTGTCTCACGATCGTGCGAGGGGTAGACATACAGCTTGCCATTGAAGACGTGGGCCGATGGGTCGGCGGTGAAAACGTGTGTGACGATGGGTTCTTTGTCCGCCATGATGTGAAGTATTCAGTTGTTTGTATCTGGAACGACAACTGGAAAAGGCAGCAGTGTACTATGATTATATGTAGGCTTCCCCATGGGTTCTTATGTATGGAGGGGTATTCAGCCCCACGATGCACCAGGCTCTCTACATTTACCCGGCGGGACGGCTATCCTACAGCCAAGCACTTTGCAGTTGGATCCAAGAGGGTCATCCCACTTAGTATTGCTCAATGGCGGTACAATCTTGTCCGCGAAGGATGAAGAGAATGATGGAAGTTCGGCGTGGTGTTTAGCCGTCAATTCTTCCGCTGGACAAGCGCGTTCATTTTGGTGCTAATCTGCCTCGGGTGTGCGGGCGTCATGCGCTGCAACCGCGGGAAGTTCGCGCAAGATGCAGCCCTGGAGATCTCGGGCTATGGTAAACTGTCGGAAGGGCGTGACGTGCAACATGGTACGCGAACGATGACTGTATCCAAAGCTTTCATTCAGTAGTATACATATTACAAGCGTTATCTATATTCCAAGATCCCCAGAAGAATATTCCTGCGCAACCGTGAAGACATTCAACGACTTCAAGTGGGTATTTTATGCTCGGCCCGAAAACGCCATCATTACTACACAAGGACATGATACTTCTTCTTTCTTGCCAGCAACGGCTTCGGCTTCTTCGCACTTCTCGCCATCAACACCTCAATACTATCATCACCACCATCCAAATTGGGTGGTGGGCTGCTATAAGCGGAAGTCCTCAGCGCACTTGAGATCCTCATACCGAGAACAGAGCTAGACGTACGCCTCCGTGGCGATGCCGCATGCGTAGAAGCCACTGACCGGGTCTCTTTGATCGTAAACCCCGTTATCTCTTCGACCATGTTCTGAACGACGTCGCGGCGTATGTCTTCTCCTTGACAGAAGCTCTTGCTAAATCGATGTCAGCACACCCGCAGACTGGATTCAAGCAATTGAAACGACAAAGCTCAGGTCTGCAGGGTCTGGTACAGCTTCATAGTCTTGTTCCGCACATCCTCACACTGTTGCAGCGCAATAATGTGGCGTTCCTGTGCAAGCTTCCATGTCTCCATGACACTCTCGTCTTCCTCCATCTTAGCCAGATAACTTGCGAATCCAAGCTTCTTCGTTGTCTCGCCGCGGTTGTGGATAAAATTATCGTCTAGGTCCTCCATCTCATTGCTTCGCGAGGCAAAGTGGCCAGTAAGGATCTTGCAGTAGTTTCGGTATGCTTTGACGTAGGTGCGCATGCGGTCGAAATAGGAATTTGCAGAGTCCAAATCTACCTTGGCTGGTGGGGCAGGTGCATAAGGTATTTCGGGATACTTGAGGTTCTTTGCAGCGTTGGCTTTGACGGGATGTGAGTTGGAAGCCTGGGATGGGAATGGGATTGCGTCTACAAGGGAGCCCATGCCAGAGAGTCCGTTAGTTTGAGGCTGGACAACCGGATTTATCATGTCTGGACCGAGACTGTTCAGTCCTCCACCAGGCGGTTTTGCGGTAGAAGCGGAAGAAGGCGCAGTAGCAGAGCCATTTGGCATGGCACCTACACCCGATGTGTTCAGCTTCGGCGACGACGGCGCCGTGCGTGTGCCTTTCTTAGCTGGCTTTGCGTTTGATGGTGGCCCGGAGTCAATGTCCATAGCATCTACGTCGCCGTTGACTGGCTCTTCAACAAAGGCTTGGTGCTTGGATCGTGACGCATCGGTCGATTCCTGCGCCTTCGAAGCTCCATTCTGTTGCACAGATGCCTTTCGTGCAGCTTTCGGCCTTTTTGTAGCCTCTGACGGCCGACGGGGCGATGTCTCCTTCGCGTCGGTATATACCCAGTTCGGGTCTTTGAACGTCTCTTGCCAGTCTTGAGGACTGAACTTGGCAGTGTGTGGCGCCATCTTTGGCGGAGCGAAGTTGATGCCAGGCGGTGGCCCCGGAGGAGGTGGAGGTATCGGCTGCCCGAATGGCGAAACTGGAGGCGGCATTGGCCGTGTGCTGAACGGGTTTCGATCCGTTGCATTTCGTTGTGATCTACCGCGGGTTGGAGAGGCTCGGCCTTTCCCGTTGGCACCTTTTTGCATGTTAGGAGCAAAGTAACTATCACTGCCTTCGAACTTGCCATGCCAGTCCGAAGGCGAGAACTTCATATTGATGCTTTCTTCACTCCTGCTTTTGAAGCTGTTGGGTATGTTCCCCGCCGCGCCGTTGCTCTGCCGTTTTGGATCAGGGGTCGCGAAATTGCTCTCTGCCCAGGTTGGAGGAGGCGGTCTTGTATTCTGCGGCGGTGGAGGAGGAGGCGGGTCACGGTGTTTGCTCCTGCTGTTGATCATATCTGAATCTGAATCCGAATCTTCATCGCTAGAGTCCGGATATCCGTGGGCAAAAGGATTTGGCTTTGCGTTGGCTTTCTTGCCCTGTGTTCTGCGACCCGAGTCTGAGTATGCACCAGCGTCTGTAGAATGGCTTGCTCTATTCGAATGAGTTGGTGAGTTCCGCACACTAGAGGACCTTCCGATTCCTTCAAACATGGAAGTGCGCTCGCCGGCTACATGAGAGTAGTATGGTGTGCGAACGCGGTTTGCTTCGGAGAATGGGGCATCGTCGGCTTGGCTGTCTTTTGAAGGAGTTGTAGACGTGGGTGGTGTTGGAGCCGGACGGGCATAGTTCCTATACGCTGACCGTGCCTGGCCTTCATCGACGCCTGGTGTTGAGGGGTCAAATCCTGTTTTGGAGGAAGGGACTCTTGTACTCTGACTGCGCCCGAAGGGGGTGCCGTTGGGATTGTTCTGCGGGTTGCTCTGCGAACTACTCTGAGCACTTGGGTTGTGTTGCCGAGGGTCCTCACCCCGCGGCTGCTTCATCTTCTGCCATGCTGTAAAGACATTGGCCCGAGCCTCGGCATCTCTTGCCTTTGCGTCCGGTCGTTGCGCCGTTGGTGGCGGGCGGAAGTTCCTGTTGGTGAATCTGTCCGCACCGTTGTTGTATGTGCTGTGGTGTTGTGGTTGCGGGCGTTGTGCTTGAGGCTGAGGCTGAGGTTTCGGAGGAGGAGCACGATAGTAGGTTCCCTGAGGGGCGGTAGTAGAGTATGCGTTCCGTGGGGGCGGCGGTGGTCTCGTTCTCGTTTGATTCGGTGTGTTGCCAGGAGCAGAGGTATTGCGATGTTTCCTTCTGTCGGAATCGTACTTTGCTCGCGAAGGTGCATCGCACAGTATCTCGTGGGCGGCCTGGATTTCTTGGAAGCGAATGACGAACTCGGCTTCGCGCCCAGGGTTTCGGTCTGGGTGGTACTGCAGCGCCAACGTCCGGAAGGCCTTGCGGATCTCGTTTTCGCTGGCGTTGGTGGGGACCTTTAGGTCGGCATAGTAGTTTCGCGAGGGATCGGCTTTGATGACCATGGCGGCGGTGTTTGCGGCGGGATTGGAGAGGTGAGGCAAGCAAGTTTTTGCACAGCGCGCCCGCCCTACTCTTGTAGGCAGCTGTAGTCGTCAAACAGCCTGGTGGGTGTCGCCCTTTCACTGCCTTGCTTGGTCGCAGGGCAGTGCTGCTCAGATGATGATGCTCGGTCGCGCGCGTGGACGTCGGGACATTGTGTATCGGAAGTGGAACAACAGTACGATGACAGCAAAAGTCTGGATACTCAGCTCGTCAGCCGCATGTCGTCAGTGTTGCAGAGAGGTGTGTGTACCCTTCGCGTCTATTGGAGCTTTGGCCGCTTGTTGCGCTGGCGTCCAGGTGCTGCATGTGTTATGGGTTGGGCTGTGTTTTGGCTCGAGAGGGGCCGCTTAGTTCTGATTACAGTCGGCCTTATCCCAGGCAACGCTTGCCACAGCCTGCTAGCAACACCCTAGCTGATCACCTTCTGGCCTCTCCAAGACTCTTTATATCGCACTTCTATTCTAGCATGCACGTTGAATGTCACAGTAGATATGGCGCACACAACTTGCTTTGGCATCACATCTGACGTCGATGGTGCAGCTGTCTTACCGGTACCGGTCAGCTACCCATGTGAAAGTCCATGTATCTTCTCTTGGCTACAACCAAGCAAGGCATACTCGCCAGATTTGAGCTTAGTGCCGTGTCTCTTTACGGAACAGTCTTTTCACATCCGGCATACAAACACCTCATCAATATACAGAACTTAAGTGTTGTCTTCGTAAAGATCATGAATCCATGGTATTGATTTTGAAAGTCCTGACAGCTTTTATGCCGCTCGGAAGCTATGCTATGTAGCCCAGGATACCCTATTCCATTCACGCCAGCCCATACGCTGAAAACAATCGACCAGACGTTGCACCAAGCACACCACATGCTCAATGCATTTAACGGTAGCGCCAGAGGGAGAGGGTGTTGTGCCTCTTCCAGGTCTTCCTCCTGCCGGCACTGGTGTTGTTGAACTTGTGTCCACGGCCGAGACCACGGCTCTTCTTGCCGGTGGCGGTGAGACCACGAGCCTCGCGGTGCTTGTGGACGGGCTTGACGATCCAGTTGATGCGAGGGTCGCGGCGGATGGCCTTGTGCTGGGGGTCGACGCAGATGACCTCGTAGTACTTGTAGGTGGAGTCCTGGTTGATCCAGTAGGAGTTGAGGACGCGGAGGTTGGCGCAGCGGCGGCCAATACGCTCCTCAGCGGTGGACTTGAGGGAGCGCTGGTACTTGAGCTGGTTGATACCCTGGTTGGTAGGCTTTCCTGTTCAGTTGTCAGTTTTTCGTTCCCCACATCAAATCGACTGCGTGCTGCGTACCGTAGGTGGCGCCCCTAGAAACCACATGTTAGCATTCTTCCCTTCTCTCAGATTGTGAAGCACCTACTTGGGAGCCTGCCTCTTGCGACCTCCACGGCGGACGCGGATGCGGTAGATAACGTAACCCTGCTTGGCCTTGTATCCGAGACGGCGGGCCTTGTCGGGGCGCGAGGGGCGGCTTGCGCGGTGGATGACCTTAAGTTGGCGAAGCTATCGATGCACTCTCAGCAAAGTTCAACGAGTACATCAATTGAGACTGAGTCTCAGGATGTTCATACCTCCCAGCACTGTCGCAATGTTAGCAGAGTTCTGTGTCCCAGCACAATTGTGGTAGAATACGTACGCGAACGCGCATCAAGAAGCGCATCATGTCCGACTGCTTCTTCTTCTGAAGTTCTTCGACATACTTGAGGGCACCCATCTTGACTGTTGGTTAGTAGATTGTCGACGCTGTCGTGCTTGAGGTTGCGAAAAGATTCGATATTGATTTCGGTTCTGTGGGCGGGTGGCCTGTGCTACACGCTAACTTGACGAGGCATCGCGCTAGACCGACATGAGTCGCTCACAGAATCGTATGGGCGACTCTCGGCAGAGCATGACACGGGCCTGAGAAGATGCGAACACGATAATTGAGATTGTGTGCACATTGTTTTCCAGCTACGAGCGAAGAGAAGAGGAGGACGAGAGCCATTGGGTCAAGGCCTGTACTTATCGTTGTACATGCTACGCCACTTGGGCCTAATGCGAATACCTGTGTCTGAGAGAAGTGCGCATTCATCTTGCCCGTCCACATACTACCTCGAACACTACAGCACAGCGTCACCTATGCCTAACATCCATCGCCCACGGGCAACCCCTTCACCATTCTCTTAACACCCCTCTCCGCATACCTTAAACTCTTCCTCAACTCGTAGTTAAGCTCAACCTCCTCTCCACCCTCCATCTCCACGTCCCCATCTTCATCCGCCTCCCCCAGTACAACATGCTCTACATCAGCACCCAGCACCTTCTTCACATTTCTCAATGCAACGCGAGCTCCCCTCCTGAGCTGCCGGTCCGTATCCTCGACATCATGCTTCCATGTGTCTGCCAGAGTTGCAGGCTGCTCGTTTCGTAATTTCGTAATCATGTCGTCTAGCCTTCGGTATTCGTTCACGAGGCTTGAGGACGCCGTCAGAATGGTGGTGACAGAGGCGTAGACTGCGTTTCCAGCGATACGAGTGCCTTTGAAGTTTGCTGTCTCATTTTTCACGGTTTGATTCGGGGTTCGCAGGGCTTCGAGGATTGTGGCTGCGAGTTCATCGCGGTGGCGTTGCTCTTGCTTCTTGCTATAACAGCTGTTAATGATTGAACCAAAGATGTAGTAGCTCCTGTAGATGTTCAAGGCTTTGTCTTACGCTTGGAGCTTCCGCTTTGCAATCAGTCCGTTAAGCTTCTTCTGGTCCTCCACTATCGTTGCGCGGAAGTGCTGCACATCTATGCCACTGTTCTTTGGCTTCTCGAGAACGCGACTGAGTGCGAGCACCTGCTGGCTTTTGGGCGCGGGAGACGTGGCACGTTGTCGTGCCATGGTTGAGATGAGTGAGGTGGGAGGAAGGAGCTGTTGATGCCTGTAGGTCTTCACACCATTTTCAAGCTTCAGACGAAAACCAATAATTAGCCCAGGAGGTCGTCGGGGAATGCGCAAACTACCAGACTATAAGTGTTCAGGCACAGCCTGGAGACCTTCAACAAATTTCCAGCCTTTGGAAGATTTGTGATAACTAGGCCAGGAGGTCCTTAAGGTTTCTGCCAACGGTAACATCACACTGATATCTAGGTCTGACAGATACCAACATATTCACTCATGAAAGAACACATTGGTGCCAAAGCATTCTGATTTCGCCATGTGGCATATATCCGACTAAACTACACGCATCATGGGGAATTTTTTGGGTAAGTGAAAGCAAGCAACCGTGGAATCATGAGATATGATGAAGAAGTGAAAAGAAAATAGCGCACAATGATCAAAAAAAAACCGAAAGAAAATCCCGAAACCTCTCTCATCTTAGAGTCCACCAAGATCTCCTAGTTACCGAATGACATGTTCTGCATGCCACTCAGCAAGGCAGGGTCAGTGCCAGTGGTAGGCCGACCTCCAGAAGTAGCAGTGTTGGCACCGTTGTAGGCGCCAGGGTTGCCATTACCGTGTCCACCTGATGTGCCGTAGTAGCCGCCAGGAGCACCTGAGGTGTATGAGGCGTTGCCATAGGCATTGGCGTAGCCCGCGCCAGAGGTGTACGAAGAGGGCTGCTGGACACCGAAAGACTGACCAGTGTTGGATGTGTAGTTACGGGAAGCAGCGTATCCCGCGGTGGTTGTAGCAGTCCCATAGCCTCCTCCATAGGACGAAGCGTAGGTCGATGGTGGATAGTAGCCTCCGCCTCCATAGTTCATGGGGCTGCCGCTCGCGGTGACGTTGGGGTAGTAGCCCGGATACATTTGCTGGCGACCCATCTGCTGTCCATGAGCCCATGTCTGCTGCATGTTGTAGGACGGCTGGGCGGGGTATGCAGGGATCTGGTGAGAAAATGCATGGAAGCCATCATCGTAGTTGCCATAGTTGCCATGGTTGCGAGCTTGACCTTGACCTGATGAACAGTCAGTGAAAACGATATCACAGCCAGGAGGCGAAGATGAACTTACCGTACTGCTGCACAGTGTGGTGTGTGTTGTTTCCAAAGCCTGGGCCAACAGAGGGAGGGGCGTTTTGATTGCTATTCTTGATGATGGCACCAGGTCCGATGGCCGAAGGGGGTGGAATTTGAGCACCGCCGGCAGGGTTGATAACGGATGCGGGATTGACAGCCGACATCCAGATGCGCACCTTGTACTGCTTGAATAGGTCGGTGACGAGCTCGTTGAAGTTGACGTACGACTCAGCGTAGTAGAAGTAAGTCAACTTGTGGTAATCACTGGATGTGTTAGTATGATGTTGATAAGAACATGGAAGTGATTGACTTACGCCTGATACTCAGCGTCGAGAATCTCCATAGGCAGCTTATGATCGGCAGCCTTCTGAGCTCCAAGGCGCTTGGCTTTGGCCTCTCCACCCTCCTTCTCACGAAGCGCAGAGATCTCGTGGGCCTGGGCAAGGCGCTTGATCATCTTGGGCTTGAACGGCTCAGGCTCACCCGAAGCAGTCACTGGAGTACGGCTCATGGGGTTGGGAAAGCCATTAGCACGCGCAAGCGCGCCCAACATACCAGAGTCGTTCTGAGTGCCGGCCAGGGAGTACTGCGAGAACATGACGAGCCAGCGGAAGTGCTCCTCGTTCGCCTCAGCCTTGAGCTTCTTAGCCTCCTCCATGGTCAAGTCGGCATGGGTGATCTGACCCAGATCGCATCCGCGGTCGCCCTCAGTAATGACAAGGTCTCCACGGCGGATCTCGAGACCGGTGTTATCGTAAAGGTAATAGATATCGGCACGCGAGCACTTGAAGGTGACAATGAACAAGCGGCGGGTGGGATTACCAATTCTCGGAGGAACGGCGTAGGGGTTGGCAGACATGGCGGGGTTGGGGACGACCGGGTCTGGGTGAGCTGCTGAGATGGCAGAGGAGTTGATGGCGCGCGATGCAGGGCCGTAGCCGGTGAAGTAGGCAGACGCGTCGAAGGGCTCGTCGTCCTTGTTGGGCGGGGTCTGGCGAGGCGACACGTACTCTTCTTCCTCTTCCTGGGTGTTGCTCAAGGTCGACAGAGGCATGGCGGAATTGTAGCTGCCGTAGTGAGCGAACGAGTGGCGACGGCCGAGGGGGTCCATCTCAGCAGGTGAGATGTTGCCTGTGGTCCACTGCGGCTTCTGAGGGCTGTCGACAATCTCGACTTCGTGATCGCGGGTCAGAACACCGACGTGCTCACTGAAGCGGCGAGTGAGGCCCGGGGCAGGACGGTTAATCGGAGGCTCAGCGTCATCGAGCTCTTCGATGGCATACTCCCCAGCGATGTTGTATGAGGTGTTGCGCAGACCGGCAGTAGTCTGGCGGCGTTGCTGTTGCATCTGCTTGACAGGAGAGCCAGTAGACGTAGCCCGGTTGCGAGCGCGTGCGTTCTCCATCGCGGCTTGTTTGAGTAAGGCTTGCTTCTGTTCACGTTCCCAGTAACCGGCAGGCAGACGAACTCCGTGCTCTGAGCCGTTCGACGACTCGATCTCGTCGGCTTCGTCTTCACGCAGCTGCGAGAGGCCGACAGCAGACTCACCAAGAAGGCTCGGCTTGGACGGGCGATGACGAAGATTGGCACTGGTGTTAGGATTGCGCGAGAAACGGCTGACAGGACTGTGCTCGATGTCACCTTGTCCTATGCTATAGGATTGGGATCGGACGGCCTTGCGGAAGGGGTTTTGTACTTGCTGGTTAAGAAGAAAACCAATGCCGTTGCCGTCGTCGCCTTCAATAGTTGTGGGGGAGGGAATGGGCTTGTTGTCGGTGGGGGGAAAAGCAGAGGTGGGGGAGGGAGCAATCTCGTTCTTCGAACGGTTGTTGACTAAGCCGCTGAAGCTCGGGGTATTCCAGGGGAATGATGAAGTGCTGGGCCGTGACTGCTGGGGAAGCTCGAGGGACGGCGTGGTTGGCTGCGAGCCGGCAAACGACACAGAAGGGAGCGAGAACTTCCGGTTTGGCTGTATATCCTGCAGCCAACCAGAGGAAGGACGACGAACTGCAAGGGGGTATGTACCAGGTGCATGTCGAACGGGCACTGCCACGTGCTCTCGGTCATCGTCGCTGGACGCCAAGACATCGCTATCAGGGGTTGGACGACGCAGTTGCAACTTCGACTTGTCGAGAGCCGAGCCGCCAACAGACAGACCGCCCTTGTATGTGTTGGAACTCATGATGAATGGTCTTCCTCAGATACATTAGCAACGTCCTTGAAGACATCAGAACAATTGGCAGACGAACCTTGAAGTCTAGAAGAAATAGAGATGGTCGATGAATAGGGGAGTGTCTTGATGCACACTACCTGCACACTGGAGATGTATGTGATGCACAGCGTAGATGCTTCTTCTTGTGACTAGGTGTGCAAGAAAATGTAACGTCTAGGCTGGCAGTGTGTCTATAAGTCTCCTTCACCTGTGAAGCGGAACGTGCCACATGTTAGCGATGACATATTTAGAAGAGGCGGTAAGGGGCGGGGTATTAAGGGTGAGGCAGGTAAAGGCAGAGGTAAAGGCAAATGGTAAAGATAGGCGGTAAAGTTGGTGAATGAGCGGGGTATCGCGATGGCATATACCCACTATGCAAACATGATGTTCGCCAGGCATGCACGGGAAGAAGGACATGATAGGACAGAGATACATACCTTGACGGTAGATATTGGAGATGTGAAGCGGATCAAATTCCAGGCGTGTATACTGCCGTTGGTCTACTCACAGCTGCCTCTCAAGGCAGTTTGACGTGGCACCTTCTGAGGGGCGATAGCTGAGGCGAAGGCTGGCAATTACGCTTTATGACGCTTCAAACGCGCTCCCTGATGTCGAATGACGTTCAGAGGCGAGCAGAAGTAGATGAAGAGCGGAATGAGGTTTGTAGGGAGAGATGATGGCAAAGATGGTGGGTGGAGGAAGCAGGAAATGGTGCCGGAGGCGGGGTTTTATCAGTCAGAACTGAGAGCGGACGGTCAGCTGGTTCTATTACCGCCTTGAGACACTGGAGGAAAGAACTGTCGGTGATGCTGAAGGCAGGAGCGCCGTGCACAGATGGCTTTAGAGATTACTGTCCGCCATCGTCGTCTTAGCAGGGAACACTAGGAATAGGGGAAATATGGGTAGATAGATGACAGAAAGAAGAAACCAGAAAGCTTCATTTGCTCCCAGTAGTACTCTTTGTAGAGACGTAGGAATGAACACATGCTGCTGTCCGACTGCTGAAGCTCAGGAGGACTCATCTGCTGCCTCCCCGCCCACATACACACCACCTGGACACCCATCAAGAATTCGATGCACGCAGCTCTGCCCCTCGAGATACTATGCAGAAACTCTTGTGAGGCAGATGCAGCGCTCATACATATTCAGAATGGTGTGCATTGCTGTGCGTGATGTCGCTGGCGTTGGCCTACTTCCCCACAACCTCAACTCCGCCAACGCCGGAACACATCTCGACATTCTCCACAACATCACCCAACCACCAGCAGTGCATTCACAAAGACAGCAGACGATGGGGACAGCTGCAGTAAGGACAAGAAGGAAAGTGACTCTGCTTACCTAGTTAACAGGACTTTGTCTAGAAGAATTACGCGACGCGGAGCTCGATGCTCAAAGCAGATCTATCGGGAGAAGAACAGTATACCCTACTCGACATCGTCAGTCTTATGGCATTGCACGCAGGTACACTACATTGCAGAGCCTGATGTAGGCCGCAAACCTGATGCGGCGGCCAACGAGGGCGACGACAGCATTCGGGTGGCGCGAGACGCTGGGAGAAGGGCCACTTACCTGGTAGGTTCTATCCCACAATGACTCTATTCAAATAAACGATTCGGAAGATAACTGGCACAGACTGTAAGCATCAAGCACTGCGACACCATGTTCGCGCGGGCACGCCCGTCACAGATCGGCCGTGCGGCGGAGACATACCTCAAAATGTCGCAAACCAAGCGC